CTGCTTCACCCAAATTTCAAACAAAGTAATTATTTAAATTTATGCTACCAATTCCTAATATTCACGTGCATGAATTTTTAAGTACACAGCTTTACGACTGCTTTTTTCACACAGTGTGTTAAAGCAATTGCTGTACCATGTCTGCAGACAGGGAGTCTGACTTTGACACAAAATATTGGTTGTCCAGTTAAAAGAATAACATCTTATTTTGCATTCATTAATATTTATTGGTCTGTTGTATTTATTTAATAGGGAGAGAGACTGAAGCCTGCCTAATTGCCTAGCCATAGTGTAAGCTATAAACTAAAAGCATTATATCAAAGCATTCAGACTTACCCTGATATTGTCTCCAAGGTCTGACTGGTACATTATGAAAGACACCAGGTTACCAGCAGTCATCTGTCCCCTTTGAATGAACAGTCTTCCATAGTATAACATAAGGACCTGCATGCCCAGCCCAGTCAACTACAAATGCAATAAAAATATTATATTATACACTGATAAATCCAACATAGGGCTAAAAGAGTAATGTAACATAATGTAACAAAATAGTTCATGTAACTTTACAAAATGTTAAAATTCTTTGAGGTAGAGGACAGATCAGAGTTCCATGTTTGAATTACTGGGCACATCCACTTGAAACAAAAACTGGCACGAAGTTCAACTTCTTTTCATTACATTCACAATAGCCTCAGAAAGTGCTGCCATTATTCAACTCTAAAGACACTGAGAAGACATTAAGCCATGAGATTAACATTGGCAAGTATGTGGACCCAACCCCAAACAACCCAAACCCAAACAAATAATGATAAGGTTCAACATTTGTGCATTTCTATTTCGGATATTTCTCTCAAAAACAGTTAATCTTCCATAGAGTTGTATTGCTGGGTTTCCAATGACATCACACCATTCTATAGGCCAATATTAATTAACACAGATGGGGGACAGCTAAAATAAAAAATGTTAAAATGTAAAATTATTTTGCAATACAGTGAGTTCTTGGATTTAGTTAATATTTGAGAATACCAGGTTCAACATTTGTGAATTTACCTTTTGGATTTTCATGGTAAAGTACAATGTAATCAACAGGGAAAAGAGGCTCTTGCCCCCATCTGAGAGTATGACATCGTCACCTTCTAGAATGTGAACGCCACCTATTCTGAAACTGAATTGATATAATTGAACCAAATCTTTACCCTTCGGACAAGCAGGTAGATGGCTCTCACAGTGTCGCGCCGAGTTTTGAGCTCATGTATGGTCTTCAAGCGTTGATTGTATCGATTAGCCTCATGTTTCTCTGCATTAAAACTCCTCACAACGTGGATATTCGACACAACCTCGTTGGCTGCATCATTTGCATGTGCCATAGCATCTTGTACAGCCAAAGAGAGTCTCTAAATAAAAGAACATTACAATAGAATAAAACAATTAAATTAATAAAAAAAAAAAAAAAGATTGTTATTATTGTTTTATGTTACACTATAATGCTAAGGCAAGTTCAGAGTTTGTGTTTTGTTCACTGACAATGACAAAAGAAATATTGTATGAACTTAAATAGTTGATCAAATAGACATATAAAAACAGAATGAATTAATAACATTTGTAAAAGAAAAAAATATATACTTATATGTTAATGTAATTAATGTACAAATCATTTTACTGTTTTGACCTTTATTTTGAACTTGTAGGTGCACTTTGCTATTTAGGGATAAAATGCATAAACAAATACTATTTTGAACACCAGTATATTTCATTTTTATATATTATTACTATTACTATTACAAAAACATAAATTGTTGTTACCTGATAGTAGGTGTCATAAACATTTTGAATGGCTCCAGCTACGGGAGTCTCCATTAGAACCAGGAACGTGAGCTTCCAGGAAAGGCTCATCATGAGAGAGATCATTCCCACAGTTTTCACAAAGGTCCTCAGCAGCACGTTCATATTCAGACACAACCGTCATTCCCATTGAATTAGTGTCTTTGGACAGTCTGGAAGTGATCTCACCTGCACAGAAATAGCACAATGTAGTGTATTAGATATTAGGGCTGCCAAATTTTGGACAAAAAAAAATTTAAATTTTTTTGTGTTGTAATTATGATAAGATGTATGTTTAAAAGTAGGATTCTGCTAAAAGTGCAGAATATATACATTCTATTATTTAAATACTACTAAATTCTATTTGAGTCATGTTATAATGTGGAATCAATACTCATACTTAAGTACTTATTTTGGCTGCCAGACCAACTGTAGTAGAATAAATTACTGACAGCAAAGTTTGAAAAGTTTTATTTAAAAAAAAAAATAATAATAACTTTTTTTTCCTGTTGTCCATTATTGTAGACCTGTTGTTTTCTATATCTATATTAAGCTCAAGTAAAAATCAATTAAGTATACTTTTAATGCTGTAATGCTGTCTTCTTCAGTTATAAAAGTTGCCAAGCTTACCAGTCTTTATGGTCTCAAAGAAACCAATTTCCTGTTTGGTCAAAGTCTCAAATAGTTTTAGTTTTATTCTGCTAGTGAAAGACCCAACAGCACAGAGCAGTAGCCCTCCTCTGCCTCCTGCACACACAGAACTGAAAAAAACAGAACAAAGCAAACATAACATTATTTATAATATTTTCTCTTACTGCATTCAGTTGTATTTTTCAACATAGTAGATGGGATGTTTGTGTCTGTAGTATAAATAAGTGGACATACCCTCCCAGAGAGAACAGACCCATGAAGATTACTGCCATGGTGAATTCATTTGCTTGATATTGGCCACCAAGGATATCAATGACTTTTCCAGTGTAATAGGGAATGAACATCTCACCTGAGGATAAACAAAAGCATATGCAATAGATCAGATCAGATGAGTTCAAGTTAAAACACTCTTGAAAGTAAGTAATCATCCCTTTTCATTGCCTATTTCAGTGAAAATTGTGAATTAACAGTATTCATATATACCAATCATTCCAATTCACAACTTTCTGGCACATATTGCTTGAGTAATATTATTTTACTAAGCAACAGTGCTTTGAAATTATAGGTTAAATTGGTCACACGTGGCTATTAATAAGAATCTGTCAATATGCATACATACCCAACTGATAAATACCTGCTTACTATTGGGGGTAGGCTGGGGGGGTGTCTGTATTTAAAGGCAACATATAAATTAACAACTTACAGAACACAGCTAGTGACAAGAAGACCAGTCCCCCCAGCAGCAGCGGGAGGTCTGGTCTGAACAGCCGCAGGACCCTCATGAACAAAACTCTGGACTTTTGTTTGCTCTTCTTTTCGGATACTGCCTCGTCTGCGTCCGGGATGGTGATTTCCCAAAATAGTGCAGCGGCAACAGATGCACCGCTACCCATGATCCAACACCACCAGTCCGACGAGAGCCCGCAGTCACTGAAGCCATCGTAAAAAAGTTTGGTCCCGGTCTCGTACACAGCGGGGAGCAGGCTGAGCGTAGCAATGAAACGGAACAGTACCGATTCGAGATCTCCGAGTGTATAAAGAGCGAGGAAAGAGAGCGCAAAGAAACGAGCAGCTGCGAAGCCCCAGAGTCGTGCGTAAACTCCGACCCTGTACGTAAAAGATGCCCCCGATACGTAAAACAAAGCAAAATCGCACCAAGCTAGTAAAACGAAGGCCAATATTTTACGCTGCACTGAGGGTTTGATGTCTTCCATGGCGCCTACAGTCCTCAAATGACCCACTGCTATGAGACGCGTTTTGGTGCAGCCTGCAGGTTACTTTTAGTTTCGTTTTCACCAAGCTGAAGGGTATTCCCATAAACTCCAGTTTGGTAATAGCCATAGATGTTCTATTGTACCTAATTCATACAGCCTATATTTGGAATTGAAACCAAAATAAAAGTCAAATCTTCAAAAATGGATAAAGGAATCAGGAAAGCACATATTAATAAATGATTGATTGATTGATAGCATTTATATAGCGCCTTTCAAGATACCCAAAGCGCTTTACAGTTCATCATTCAGTCACTCCACACTCAGTGGTGGTAAGCTACTACTGTAGCCACAGCTGCCCTGGGGCAGACTGACAGAAGCGAGGCTGCTAATCTGCACCATCGGCCCCTCCGACCACCACCATCACTCATGCACACACCACTTTCATACTAGGCAATGTGGGTAAAGTGTCTTGCCTAAGGACACAACAACAGTTTTTTGCCACTGGCGCCCCACTGTGGCACCTGGAATTCCTAGCGGTCCCTATGGAGTAAGAAAGGCAAGACAAGACATTTTTACAATAAATTTTAATGAACCCACTTGTTGGTCACTGTTGTAGCTCCTTGTTGTGCCATTACTCCGTTTTTACCCTCTGCTACAAACTTAAGCATGCGTAGTCTTGATCTTGATCGATGTTTCTTCTGCTCGATAAATAATGTCTGTGAAGTGATGACGTATTTTTGACAGTAAATTTCCGTCTGTGAATTCGTATTCGTACTGATGAAAGCGTAATCGTAAATTTTCATTTCGTGATTGTAATTCTTGACGTCGTAACTTTTCAATTCGTATTCTGATGGATAAAATACACACAATCTATTTTATGTACGACTGGACTCATTTGAGAGTTTACAAATATTTATTTTATGCGCGACTACAGCCAAATATGCACGGATTTCCCAAATACGCACGGATTTCTATTTTATGCGCCCGAATATTTTTGACAGCTTTCTTACTCCATATCTCCCATCCAAGGACTACCCAGGCCCAGCCTGCTTAGCTTCTGAGATCTGACAGGATCAGGCTTTTTTACAAGCCGGTATGGCCACGTAAATGTTTTTCTTGTGGTGTTTTTGTATGTAACCACCAGCATTAAATGGAGGGCAATGAATGTTTTCTTATTTATTATTTTTACTATTATTATTATTATTATTATTATTATTATTATTATTGTTGTTGTTGTTATTTGTTATTGTTATTATTTCATTTATTTTTTTAATAACACTATTATTAAGTACATATAAGACATTTTGGCAACAGTTGTACTGAAAATGCATTTTATTGATTGTATTTTAACATATTTCAGGTTGTCTCACTGATCATAAAATGTGGGTAAGTCATTTCCCAGAATTACTTTCTCTTCTGTGCAGTGTTCATCAATTGTGACAAGATAAGCCACACCTCCACTTGAGCCATCTCTGTTCATCGCCAAAGACAGGGCTGTAAAAACAAAAAGTATGAGAGTATATCATCAGATCATGCAGCTGTCTAGCTCAACATCTGATAGATGCCCAAACACAATATTATCCCTCTGTTTGCCTCTATAGCTGCCCACTTGTCTCTTGTTGGAGATGGATATGTTTAATGCCATAGTATGGAACATTACAGGCAAGGAAAGCAGGTGGCATGCCCACAATCTGGAAAGCTGCCTTTATTTCACCTTTATTGAAAGCCAATTTATTTATTCTTAATAAACAATAAATGTGAATTTTAAGAATGTCCTATCAATATAAGGAAACATGTGATCCATTCTTGTGTCCATACCTGAGTTACACAATGTTAAACCTGTTATTGAATACCACAATGATACTCACTGTTGACGAACAAACTTTTGACACTCCTCTTTGCTCATGCCTCTTCGATATTCTGCATCCACAAATCCATACACATACGAACTCCCAGAGCCTCCAACTGCAAAGGGCTGACGACTCAAGAGTCCATTTAGTGTTGCATAAACCTGGGGAACATAAATAAGAAAAAATACTGGATTAGATATTTTTTGGCACATGCACTTACACCAGGCAGAGCACAGAGTAAGAAGAAACACACAGAGCTATAGGATTTGAACAGACACATGTACAGCAAGGTCACAGTTATTGTTGTGTGCATGGCATAAATGATGAAAAGTCTAAAGATATTATAGGATATATGCCACAATGAGAGAAAAGTACTGACTTGTCCTCCTTTTCTCCTGTCCCATCCAGCCACTATCAGATGTGCCGATAGCTCCTCTTTATATTTGTATGAGATGTTTCTGACCAAAGTGGCAGCGGAGCGAACTTGGGGGTCTTCTCCAATTTCCATACTGTGGTAAAAAACAATATCATTTTCATGCAATAATTTAACAGAACAGAAGATGACAACCTATATTGTCTCTCTGTGTATAAAATTGATTCACATAATGAATTGATTAAACAAAAGATGTGTGTATGACTATCACTATATTATGTAGTGTATTTGAACCAAAGTCTAATATATTCACAGTTTTATGTTTGACCAGGTAGCAGTGGTAGGGCATTCATAATGTTTTGAATATATTTGGATATGTCTTATTTACCTGTGGACATCCAGCTGATAGTTGACCACCTCTGCAATGGTCTGAGCATCAGCAGCAGAGCCTGAAAGCGCGCAGTAGATTTTGTCATGGAGTAGAGAAAGTTTGTTCATTACCCTGTTTACCACTGAAGCCCTGCGTCACAGAATGAATAACAAGGTAATAATGGCAATGAGCATGTAGGCTATGCTAAATAGGATATAGTTTAGTCTCCGCAATTACAACTGTACGCACCCTGCAGAGACTCGTGAATCAGACCCCAGCACAACCCCTCCGTCAAACTCTATGGCAAGGATAGTGGTCTGTAGAAAATATTGTCATTAGTAACCAAGTGTGCATTTGGCTTTCACGTAGATTGTAATACAGACTGTACTTACTCCAGTTTTCACCTCCTCGGACAACCACTCGGGCTCATTCTCCCCCAGCATGCTTACGCACAAAAGACGCACCGTCGACGTTGAACTAAAACGTATATAGACTAGCGGTATGATTAGAATCGTTTTGATCTTATATTTAATCGTCTTTTTTAGCCAAACAGCAACTCCATATTCACCCGACCGAAATTGAAAGTGAATGAATAAGTCCCGCCTCTGGAAATCGATGGCGTATCAACAGTCACTCTGCATCATGTCATTTCTCCATTCACTTAAAACATATATTATAGGTGTTGTATGCTATATTTGAAACCTTTATTTGAAATGATCAAAGGCAGCCAACATCCGATACTGTGCTGCAGAATATTGTTTTGGTTGAAATCAAGTTACATTGCCTGCAAACTCATTTTAATTTGGCTTCACATTGGCTGTTAGGTTTACCCTGTTTGACCCTGTCGTGCCACAAGGCCCACGTGTAAAATGTATTTCACTAAAATATTGTAGAGTTCAACATTGAATAAAATGTCTGTATTGTATTATGTTGACAAAGGGTATGAAAGGTCAAAATATTTAAAAAACAAGATATTTTCATTATTTGTATTTTTATATCAACTGTTTTATTAAGTGAATGACAAAAATGCATCTCTTTGCCCAAGTAAGAAGTTGTAATGGTAAAACAAAATTTACAAGCACTGATTTGGCAAAACATATTACACATATAACATTTTTATTCTAATTATATTATATTAGTAATGTAAGATGAATGACAAAAATGCCTTTTTTTTTTTTTTTTTTTTTTTTACTTTAGTTTTATTTTTAGTAGGGAGTTAATCATCATGGAACTTGGGCAGCTTGTCCCCAGGCACCACCGTATGCTCTGCTCCAGACTCGGTGATCACAACCAGGTGAGCCACGCCTCCACTCACGTTATCTCTGCCCATCGCCAACGCAAGAGCTGTGAGCACAAAGACACAGAGGGGGGAGGGGAAGGGAAGGACGGTGCAGGAAATGTGAAAAAAAAAAAAAGATGCCATATAAAATAAAATGGAAGAAAAATAAATAATTTTGTATCCTCTAAAGAGAATCTTTCTGAAAGGATGGATATAACTTGAGATGAGATGTATATCCAAATATAAGAGTTGATTATCACTCAAGTAGAAATAGATAGATTGACACAATTGTTTGGATACAATATCTGATCTATGAATTAGTTCTGATGACCTCATACCTACAAAATATAGGTCACTGCTAGGAAAATGTACATTATTTTTTCAATAAATAAACAATATCTAGAAAACAGGAAACTTCAACTGTGCTTCCTTTTTTTGTCTTTAAACTCTAAACTTTTGTGGGTACATGGTTGGAATAATGTTACTGTTACTCCAAGATCATATTTGTCAATTCATAGAAAAATAAAATGTGATATGTTTTTGTAGAAGCATAACCCAGAACTATAACTCATAAGTGCCAACCTGGAGTCATTATTTAAGTTGCAGCAACACTGAGACAATCATACCATTAGTGGCGAACTGTAGACATTCTTCTCTGCTCATGTTTGGTCTGTATTTGGCATCCACGTATCCGTAGATGTAGGTGCTGCCGGAGCCTCCAATGGTCACTTCCTGCTTGATCAACATCCCGCCAAGAGACACAACATAAATCTGGAAGAGGAAAAAATTGAAAACATTTAAAAACTTTTATAGCCTATTCTAATTTGTACTTTACTAATACAAATTGTTAGTTGTGAGACGGAGAGAGATTTTTGAGATTTTACTTACTGTTGTGACCAGAAAGCTATAGTTGCCATCTCATTATTACAATAATATTATGAAGATTATCCTTATCTATATCAAGGCCCAAAATGTTGTAAAGGTCATAAATTAACATCCAAAAAGCAATACAAAGAAAATACTAACTGTATCTAAGTAGAGAAGGATTCATCGGTGGTAATCTGGACTGTTTTTGTTGTTGTTGTTTTTTATTGCAAAAAGCAGCCTCTATTCTCTTAATATAAGTTTCTATCGATTGTGTAAACATACAGCTCTTCTTTTTTCTGTTTAAAAAGACACATCTGATGCAGTGAGAACAAACGAAAATAACACATGGGTAACAGAGACTGAGGCATCTTAGAACACTCCCACATATATCGGCCAATATCAGTTTTAGCAGCAGTATTATTGTCCTTAATAATAACCAGGAAAGTCTCTTAATACACTGAGACCCCCACCTGAGGTCCTTTTTTCTTGTCCCATCCTGCAGTGATAAAGCCAGCCTGTAGCTCGTCTTTGTTTTCGTAACACAGTTCTTTCAACACAGATGCTGCTGCAATAACTTGTGGTGAGCTCTCCATCTGTACACTGTGGATAGACAAAAACAGAATTACTGATCCTTGTAATATTCTTACATTTGCTGCAGAAATTAAATGAAATTCCAAACAAAATACAGCTTTCGAACTCATTTTACAGTTCAGTTCACTTCTCTCTCAGTTACAATTAATAATGGTTAAGTGCTTCATAGATGTAAGCCATGCCTGCCCTGGGTCAGAGTGATAGAAATGGCTCATATTCTGCTCCAAACTCTTATCTGACACTAATTGCACTGACATTCAGGCAAGGTGAGCAAAGTTTAGGGGGCAGGATTGCTACTTGGATGTGTAGAGATTGTGAAAAACTGTCCTTTTGGTGCTCTTCAGTATCGGCCTCAAATACAAAGTGAAAAAACTGAGGCACACAAAATGCCTTTATTACTTTACAAAGGTGGGTAAATTGTCTTGTTCAAGGATATAACAGTAGTTTGCAGGCAGTGCTGACAGTATACAGCAGGAGTTAGTGGACAAATGCATCTATTACTCAGTTTAGTTAAGTAATAATAAAGATACCTGTGAAATGATAAGTGAAATTTAGCCGCCTTTAGGACAGCCTGGGCATCGGCCAGAGAACCAGCCATACAACAGAAGATCCGGTCGTGAACCTGAATTACTTTGTTAATTGTCTTTGAAGAGACATATTCCCTGAACGAAACAGCAGAGTGAAAAACATTAGAGTGAACCTCTTATGTCACACAAACTTAATAAAACATACTATTATTAATGAATCAACTTTTAACTGTGAACTTTAATTCATTCTCACCCTCCCATTGAAGCCCTGGAGTCTGAGCCAATCACAACTCCTCCATCAAAAGTGGCAGCCAGGATTGTAGTCTGTGGAAACAAAATACGTCCATTGATTTAGACGCATAAACTATGAATTGTGGGATATGTAGTTTTGTGTGCTTGATGAAAATGAAAGCAACGTATTCTGCACAAAAACTGACGAAAGAAATCTCATAGAATGTATTGACCTAAAAAGAACTCTACATTACATGAACTGCCAGCTAAAAACAGCGTGTGTGATAAGGGTATCCAGTATTTTTTAGGACACAGCATCACCTGTTCATTGAACCTATAGACCACTTACGAGAGTCTAGTTTCACGCTTTCTCACTTCATGCGTAAAACCAATAACGCTGAATCTGTACAAAATGGTGATTTAAACCGTTGTATTTACTTACCCCGGTGCTGACTCCTTTAATCTGTGAGTCCAGAATGCGTTTCTCCATGTTGGCTCCAAATCGAAAGAGAAAAATCAGGCGAAACCTTAAACAGCGACCTCAAGTGCACTGTAGCTGCGCACAGGGAAGCGACGCGCAGACCTGAGTCCACTATGGCGCTATCAAATGTCCTGGAGATCCCTGCATCCGGCTTCAACTTTGAAAACGCGGCCAGGTATGAAATAGTTTTAGGATATCAGTAAATAAATGTGTCAGAATTGTCGACCTTAAGAAAGTTTGGTTTAGTTTTCGGAGCAGGATCAAAAGTGAAAGTAACTTACTGTGTGATGTGTTTGTTTTACGGGCTCTGACACGTTCTAAGTTATTTTTTTATTCCCTCTTCCCTCAGAAATGCTGCTTTGGAAGAGATTTTTGAGGGAGGAAAGGCACCCAAACCGATGAAAACAGGTACCACGATAGCTGGAGTTGTATTTAAGGTGGGTATTACCTTATACATGCTTGGTACACCATATTAGCAGATATTTGACATATGCATAGGCCTTTGTATACCTATGTCTATGTATAAGCCTACATTAAACTCTAAATAAAAATTCTATTGTCCCAAACCATAATGCACATTTAATTCATAAGCCTATCATTCTACCCATACTATCAAAACTTTATAAATTTAACCTAACCTGTTCTGCGCAGACAAAGTAGATTTTAAATGATACATATATGTAATGGGCCTTTTCCATTGAGGGAGTAAACATCAATCTGTAAGAAGGGATTTAAAGTTGCATTTGTGTCAATGACAAATAAGTATCCAGTAAGTTTGTCTTTGTTCTTATGTAGGATGGAGTGGTTCTTGGCGCCGACACACGAGCTACCTCCAGTGAAGTGGTCGCTGACAAGATGTGTGCTAAGATCCACTATATTTCTCCAAACATTTAGTAAGGCACTTTAATTAAATCTCAGTCACATCAAATCAGTTCTATATCATTTTAATCATTTGTTCTTATTTCAGTTGTTGTGGAGCGGGAACAGCAGCGGACACACAGAAAACTACAGACATTCTTTCGTCAAACCTCACGATCTATTCCTTGAACAGTGGCAGAAATCCTCGAATGATCATGGCTGCAAATATACTACAAGACATGCTATACAGGTGGGCTTCTGCAACTCAGATTCTACATCATTTGTCGCCATGAACCCAAAACATTTAAGATATTCTATAAATGCTTTGCTGTCAGTTCAAGGGTGATCAGTGCTAATCACCTGTCTGTGGGTTAACAGATTCAAACATGGATTTAATTTAATATTTTATCATTTTGTGTAAACTTCTCATCCAAAAGGAAAGGCAAAACAGTCAGCATTGCAAAATTTAGACAGCCTGATACAGTGGCATAGATAATACTTGCTATATTATGTTTTTGTTCTTAAGGTTGGGGTTTGGTAATATTTTAGAATATTATAGCATAATATTTAAAATGTGCCATAACTCAAAATTAATGTACACATTCCTAATCCTGTCCATCCTCATCATGAACAGAGTAGTAACACCTTTAACTCTGCTTGCTGTATTTTTCTACTTCATTGATATCCATTGTTGTTGTCTTCAGGTATCATGGAACTATTGGAGCCAATCTTATACTGGGAGGAGTGGACTGCACCGGGAACCACCTGTATGAAGTGGGGCCCTGGGGAAGCGTAGACACTATGCCCTATATGGCAATGGGTAGGTAAAATGCATTTCCTGACCAGTCAAGACTACATTATTTTCCTACTCCATAAAGACTCTGGGCTCGTATCATATTTCTGCACGTTTACGTTGACATGCAGATTAGCCAGTCTGAGAAACAAACAAACCAAACATAATCATCTATGTTGTTTTTGCCTTGCATATGTTGTAACGTATTGCAAGGGAAGAATTAAAACTATACAAATACAACATAGATCTTATTGTCATTCTTGAAATTAACATGCATTTTTGTTTGCCTTTCTTTCCTCAGGTTCTGGGGATCTTGCCGCTATGGGAATTCTGGAAGACAGATTCAAACCAGATATGGAGGTGAGTGAAAAGATTCTACACATTTTTGTAATATTATATAGCCTATATGTTGAAAATTGACAAAAAGGTGAGTGATTTTGTCTCTTCATCAGATGGAGGAGGCCAAGGAGCTGGTGCGAGCTGCGATTCAGTCCGGCATCATGAACGATCTTGGTTCAGGACACAACATTGACCTCTGCGTTATCACCCGCAAAGGAGTTGACTACATCCGGCCTTTCCAGGAGTCGCCGTATGGAGACGACAGGTGTGCAACCAATATAAATCTAAACTGAAATATAATGTACAGTTTATAATGTATACATTTCGGGATTTGAGACAATGTCAAAACACTCCAGGCTTATACTTTAATGTGAGATAGGGTTGTTGACACTGGGATCTTGTCACTAATGCTTTAATACTAGTAATGATCAAGGTTAATATTTAAACATACCAATGCCTGCGTCTGTGTACTGTGTGCCTCAACCCCTGATAAATGAAATGAGTTGGTGTCTGGAAGGGCATCTGATGTAAATTCTTATGCTCTAATCACTGCACACTAGACAGAATTCATTTGCTAGCACAACAAAAATAAGGAGAGCGTAAAGAAAACATTCATTGTACATTTACAAAGCATGTCATGAAATATGTAAAGTGAATTGATTTTATCTCACTGTGATCCCTTAAACTTTTTTTTTTTATATTTTTGTTTTGATTTTATGACAAAACACTGTAAAACAACAGCAGATGAAAATTATGTTAAAAAAAATCTTCTATTACCCTGTCACATTGATAATTTTGTACATTAGCTAACAAATATATCTTTTCTTATGCCATAGGAAAACAAAGTACAGGTACCGGCCTGGGACCACTCCAGTGCTGACCGAGAAAGTGGTACCGTTAAAGCTGGAGGTCGTGCAGGAGAGAGTGCAGCAGATGGACACATCATGAACCAAAACCAAGAGGCTCTACAACTCCACACAAAATCTACTGTCATTTCTGTATTTCAGTTTTACAATCATTCCACTTCTCACATTTGCCTTGTCAAAATGTCAACTTATCAAAATATTAAATAATAAAACCAAATAAAAATTGTCAGCTATTTTTGTTACAGGTATTATTCCATGTTAAACTATGTTCTATCTAGATTTTATATGCAGGCTTCAACTAGGATAGGGTTTACTGGACATTTGTTGTGCCCATATAGTGCCATCATATAATGTGTATATAATTCTTTATATAATTGCATATTGTGCCACATTATAACAAAGTGAGTATAGAGAACTTTCTGAAAACTGATTTATATTTCTGGCACATAGAAAAGAAGCACCTTGAAGAGCATCTGTAAAGTAAAAGCAGATAAGTGAAACTCTGAGACACAGGATTTACTGAAAGTATAAAAGCAAAAACTTTATGCAATGGTTCAAAGGTGATCTCATGTAGTCTGTACCGGTAATAAAATAAATCAACGTTAGTAACTGAAGTCATAGTTAACCACATACCCACTTCCTTTAAAATGGATAGTAAAGGGGTTTTGTCTGCTGCACTGCATACAAAATAATTATATCAACAGGTGGTTTTATGGTCTAACCCCCATCCAAAACAGACTGGACAACTTTTGGCATCCGCATCTTTCATACTGTGGGCAAAATTCATCAGTAATAGTCACTGTATGGTAAACAGTTTTTGGGATTATTCGTAGCCTTTTGCAACTAGATAGAGAAAAAAACCCGCCAATTTAATACGCTTGGGCTCTTTTTTCATACCTGAAATCTGCACTTCCTGATAGATATTGATGATGAAAGAGATTCGGAATTTTTTATTGGCCCACGCAGATTATTAGGCTATGTCGTATTTTGTAGTGTACCAGGAATATTTTAAACAATATAACATTGAATGGAAGTTACAGTATTAATTTTATTTCTCAGTGCAACAAAACAATTTATATTACGTTATCAAAAATTATAACTAAAAAAATAAGATACTTTTAATCTCTTTCACTTTCGCATTCATCCTTCATTGTTGCGAACGAGGAAATTCTGACGCACGCAGTTAATAGTCAATAGCCTTCTTTTTACCCATATATTTCTAGAATATGGCTCTTTTTGAAGTAAGTGGTTTAAAGCCTTCTTTTGAACTGCGTGGTCATATCCTTCCAGGGGGACAGAAGCATCTCGTTGACCGAACCAACCATTTCAATTTCGGTTTGAAAACTCAGGAATTTGCTGTTCCTCGCGGTGTTGACGTGAGTAGTACCAATTCAGCAGTTATTTAATACTTTAAAACATATACAGGAAAGCTAAAACCTGCATCAGACGCCATGAATGAACTTTTTAAGCGTAATTTGACGGCATTGTTGTGATGCGTTATGCGTAATTACGCCTCTGGACATTGTTCGGTCATTTAATTCAAACCCTCTCCTCTAATTTCACAGCCTTCTCGGTTTCTCAAGTCCTGCAACAATGAGGGGGGAGTGTGCATTGACATGAACCACGGCACGACCACCTTAGCCTTCAAGTTCAGACATGGGGTCATAGTGGCGGTCGACTCCAGAGCCTCTGCTGGACAATACTTGGGTGAATGAATTTATCTTATTTAATACATAAAATATATCACGAGTTGTTATTTTTCATGATACTATAATACAAAATCATCATCTATTCTAAACATTACCTCTACAGCACTAAGTTGAGAGAGTCAATTTGGTTGTTGTCAGATTCTAGAGTGATAAAATTCCCCTCCCTCAGATGGAGACAGGAGTCAGGAGCTGCTGTGTTTGTTTAACATAAGAAAAACTGAAAAGAGTTAGAGCCAAGCCACAAATATTGATCCTGATAAAATACAAACATCACCTCAGGCATCTACATTCAGAATGCTGTGATTTTATCTGAAAACCAGTTATTAACTCCTTTCCTGTTCTTCAGCATCCAATGCTGTGAACAAGGTCATAGAGATCAACCCATACCTGCTGGGGACAATGTCTGGCAGTGCGGCCGACTGTCAATACTGGGAGAGACTGCTGGCCAAAGAGTGCAGGTGTGTATTAAAGTGGAATACATGAGTACTGATTTAAGCATGACTTTAATAGGCATTAGGTTTAATTTGTGAATATCAAACTCAACATAAGATGGCAGGTGTCTTGAAGCAGGGGCACTAGAGTTTTAGAATAGTCAGCGACTTGCCCATTGATGTAGAGGCTATTCCCACAGAAGGTGAAAGTACTGAATGAAGTGAATGCATAATGAACTACTAAAGTGCTTGAAGAATCTTATTAGCATTGAAAGCACAATATAAAACTGAATTTTTATTGTTAGCTATTAGTAAACTAATTGTATATATTCATCTTGGCTGTAATAAAACTTTCTTTTACCAGGCTGTACCGGCTCAGGAACAACCACAGGATTTCGGTTTCGGCTGCATCCAAACTGCTGTGCAACATGATGCTGGGGTACAGAGGCATGGGACTGTCTGTGGGGAGCATGATCTGTGGATGGGACAAAGAGGTACTCTACAGAGATACTCCTTTTAGGTTTAGTGCTAAACTGTGTCTCTTGCACTTTGGCTTCATAAAACTATAATCCAGAATTGTATGCTTATTTAAACCCATATACATCAAGCAATAGCGTCTGAGATAAACCTATAAATTATTATCAAAAGCAAATATTTCTGGTAATTAATTTTGCCATATTTTAAGATATCTCTTATGAAAATACCATAAACAATTATTTCAGGAAACAACACTCTTAGCAAGAATTTACCTGTTAGTTCTATCTCTATTAATGTTGTCATGAAACAAAAATTTCAAATTCAGTACTAAGGAAAAGTCTACCTACTAGGTACTCAAAGAGCTTTAGATCAAGGAAACACTCACCTCATTCACACATGCAGACACTAAGAGCAAGGAGGGGTTAAGTGTAACAGTATTCACTCTACCAACTTAGTTACTGTCACCTCAGTAATAAAAAAACACTTTTGTTGGATAATTGAATGCACTTTTCAACACAAAATAATGATATTTTCTTATATATTACCATGTTTGTGTAAACTAGTTGTAATATACATCACGATCATTCTAAAACTATATGAGAAAGATCCAGCTTTGTCTGATTAGATTTTTTAACAACCCTAATCTCTGTACTTCTGTGTCCTGTGCAGGGTCCTGGTCTGTACTATGTGGACGATAACGGGACACGCCTCTCCGGACAGATGTTCTCGACAGGATGTGGAAACAGCTATGCGTATGGAGTGATAGACAGTGGATACAGGGAGGACATGACTGTGGAGGAGGCCTATGAACTGGGCCGAAGAGGCATCACCCACGCCACGCACAGAGACGCCTACTCTGGAGGAGTGGTCAACAGTAAGTCAAATACATAAACATTATATAGTCCAGGGGCTCTCTCAGTTCACAGTTAGTACTACCACAAGAAAGTGTTGTCTAAACCAGATTTATAATAGGTCTATTGCAGGTAGAAATTTGGGTTAATGTTAAGGTTAAACGTGGATACAATTATGTAAACACTAGAAATTAAGAGATGTGTGTGTACCACTAAATGAAGTTCAGCTACTTGAGAACCACTATTTTAGAAGACACATGAAAATTGAGGGAATAACATACAATTTGTGTGAAGCACTGAATTTGAAAACTGAAATCAAATAAGAGTTGTTACTTTGAAATTCAGCTCATCCACAAGCAGATATAAAACATATTAGATGAAAAAGCTACTCATGAACTGGGTAACAATTTGGATATGTACTAGTAGTTCATATAATCAGACAAAGCATAAAAAAATGACTGAGGTAAAGTACACACTAAAATTTTTAAACATATAAATTTTAGGGGGGTTAGAAAATGATTGTTATTGTTGTTAAATAATGTTACACAATGAAAATAATATAGTTTGGTACATTCTAAAAGTACTCAAAGACTAATTTAAATGTACACCTGATAATGATTGTGTTTCTCTCCAGTGTACCACATGCGGGAGGACGGCTGGATTAAAGTGTGTAAAGAGGATGTGTCCGAGCTGATTCACCGCTACAAGAAAGGCATGTTCTGATTATCACTGTCTACTATTCCTGCACCAAAACACGTTCACTGTACAACTGATAGAGCAAGAGTTTTTACATAAAATCCAGCTCAAAAGTTTGATTTCCTGACATCTCAACCAACAATAAAGATCACATTTGCCAAAGGTTTGCCTCTGTGGTTATTATTAAACATGATAAACTGGTTAAACAACGATCCGACTGTGAACGCTCTGGGTAAGTACATGGCATAATCATGTGACATAATACCAGCAAGGTGTGTGAATGCAAGGTGTTTTTTTATTTGAAAAAAATTAACCTGGATGCCCTACTTTGTGTAACCCTCTCTCCTATCTATCCAGGCTTGAGATGAACACAAAATGTATATTGATTTTTACTTTTGTAGACAGATTAGTTTGATTAAATAGTTGAAGTCTACTGCATCACACTAGTAATGAATAATAAAAAATAAATTAGTGCATTTGACCCACACTTCAATATAGAAATATTCAAAATACCCATTTCTCACAAAAAGTAACTAGCTGAAGGATTATATTATTGTGAACGTTTTGGGGTTATCAAGGGCGTCTGCATTATTTTCCTTTTACCATAATTGTACCAGGTCAGTTATGAAAACATACATATCATCCACTTTCAGTGTTGGGAAGGTTACTTTTAAAATGTATTCCCCTACAGATTACAGATTACATACAACAAAATGTAGTTTGTAACATAATCCATTAAATTACTTAAAGTGAGTAACGTAATCTGAATACTTTGGATTACTTGATTTGCTGTAGAGACTAAGATATCTTCAGATAAGATGTTTTGTCTGCTAAAAGAAAATAAAAAGCCCAGTTTTTCCTTAACCGTATTAAAAATATTATTGATAGAAGAAGAGGAGACACAGTCCGCACGGCATGGTTTAGTCCTGTTAAATCCTGGTTTAGTCCTGGTTTAGATCTAGTTTAGACCTGGTTTTAGCCCTGGTTTAGATCTAGTTTAGACCTGGTTTAGATCTAGTTTAGACCTGGTTTTAGCCCCAGTTTAGATCTAGTTTAGACCTGGTTTTAGACCTGGTTTTAGACCTGGTTTAGTCCTGGTTTACACCTGGTTTTGATCTAGTTTAGACCTGGTTTTAGCCCTGGTTTAGATCTAGTTTAGCCCTGGTTTAGATCTAGTTTAGCCCTGGTTTAGATCTAGTTTAGACCTGGTTTTAGCCCCAGTTTAGATCTAATTGAGACCTGGTTTTAGTCCTGGTTTAGACCTGGTGTTAGTCCTGGTTTAGTTTTAGACCTGGGTTCAGTCCTGGTTCAGTCCTGGTTCAATCCTGATTTAGTTCTGGTTTAGTGTCTGGTAATGAGTGGAATTACTTAATAATAAAAAAAAAAAAGGGGGGGCAGGTTGGGATATAGCCCAAAATGTGAAAACAGGAAAATACCGCCGTGTAATCCATTTATTTCAACAAAGTAACTGTAATCCAATTACCACTCACTGAAACAGTAACTGTAACTGAATACAGTTACTCATAATTTGTACTCTGGTACATGTAATCTAATCTGTTACACTGTCCACTTTAACATGTTTAATTGTTGTAGTTATGTTGTTATATGTTGTAATTGGTTATATGTTGAACCTAATCTCAAATTAATAAAGGAATAAAATAAACACGACAACCATGGGTAAAGTTGGGAATTTTTATTTAAAACCAAACAGCAGAACAAAAGCAAAAGATGGAATGCAGTGCAATTTCACTTTCACAAACATCAACACAAAAATATTCTATCCCAACTTTGACACTACAGTATATTTTAAATCCAGAAACACCCCAAAAAAATCACAAATCATATATTGATATAATTACTACTGCTACTTCACACTTCAAAAATCAAATCTTCTAAAAATCTACTTAAAAAATCATATTTACATCTTAATAAATAATCATAACAGCTTTAGAATTCTCTTCTTCATGATCAAACTGTTTTCAAGGGACTATTTTACTGTAGAAATTCCAGATCTAATTATGTTACGGTGCAATCTGCATATAAAAAGTCCAAATATGTCTGTAGAATATTGCTTCTTACTTCCAAAAATACTGCAATTGATACCATTTATATGAGTATATGTGATCCAATCAGTTTTGTACATATTATTTGTATGTATTTATATTGTATTTTTGTTTAGAGCTCTAATGAGACTTAATTATGATGAGGACACATATCTGAAAAGGTAGTTTTAGTGCTTTGTTAATTCTGTTTTTATTCTACTTTATTCTACCTTTCAAATCTGAATGTATGGTGTATTTGTATTTTAGGATATCATTTACAAGTTATTAGATACGCAATAAAACTGTAGATAATGAACATTTATAAGACTCCCCTTCACCAAAAAACACTATTGTACTATTGTGTATGCGGTTAGTAATGACAGACAAATGAATTAAGAGCAACTGGAAAATAGATTGATGCTATGAGCAAAAACAAGTTCAACATACATTTGTAATTATGTTTTGAGTAACTGAGCCTGATTTGAAAGCTGATTCTGCATTTGTGAATTGCATAGTGAAAATAAGTCATCATTTAAAGAGCCTAAAGCATCAATCGAATTTGTAAAAGTTTATGACAGCTAAGAATAACAAGTGCGTCCAACTGGAATAGCCCGCTCCTCCTGCACGAGATTTACGATTCTGTGAAAACAAAACAGAAAAAAATTTAACTTTATCATTTCAGAATTTTAAAATAATAAACATTTTCCCTTTGTGTTTTCAAGTTTTTAGGATTTCTCTCTTTTTTAAATGTAAAAATACACTACATTTTTATCTGGATGCCCTTCCTCATGTGACCCTCTGTTCCATCTATCCAGGCTTGACTTTAACACAAAATGAATATTGGTTTGGTACTTTTGTGTCTAAATTAGTTATATACAAAAACTTCTTCATAATAATAATGATAACAGTACAATATATTATTCTCAGTACAACACTTTTTCATCATTTATGTCTGACTTCTTAAACCATAAATAGCCCTACAAAGATACTATTTATTATGAAGGAAATCTCATATTAACTGCTGTTGTGTTCACTCACTTTGGATTAAGCTCCTCCTGTACGTCTGGGTCATTCGCAGCTGCAAAGAAACATCAGTTAGTCAAAGAAATTCTTTTGTATTACATTGCAAAAAAATAAATAAATAAAAATCTAGATAAGTTAAAATGAATTAAATGAAGAACATTTGACTTTATTTGAGTAGATTCAACTTAACAAACAAGTAAAATGGTCTACAAATGGAATACATGTGTTTTTCTTAATTCTAGCAACTTTTGCTTTTGTTTCTTATTTTAAGTGCAAAAAGTAGTTGTTTTTCTTATTTGAAGTGTAGCAAGATGTATTTTCATATTTTAACTACAAAAAGTCTTTTTCCACTGACAGATAATTTTACTTTAACTAGTGAAATTTACTCAAATCATGATAAAACTTTCTTAATTCAAGTCATCTTAACTTGACTAGATTTTGTGTTTTGCAGTGTATAACTATGATAAACATATAAAAATGTTCACTTACGAGATGGAGGGCGCTTGGCTGCAACAATAAAAACAGAAGTCAGTTAATCACCTTTTGTTGATACAGAATAAATGAGAACATAGTGGATAAATGCATTTGTGTCTTACCGTTCATCCTCTTCTTGTACAAGAGGAACCCAAGAGCAGCCACCACAACAACACAGACAATGACCGCAACAACAGTGATGATCAGAGAAGTGTCGGACTTCTCTGTAAAACAAACACAAAGCAGTAGTGTTATTTAGAATACTTTTTATTACTTTTTATTTGTTGGTCTATCCTTTTATTGATACTAGGCAGCTACAGCCAACTACAGTGACTTGTATTTAAACTGTCAATGTACATTTGCAATGGAGTTTATTTTAGAAGTTCAAAATATCCACCCTTTACTTGGATAACTGCTTTTACACTCTGCATTCCACTAATGAACCCTGACGAGGCACACTGAGAAGTGAAACCATTTCAGGAGACTTCATCGTGAAGCTCACAGAGAAAAGGCCAAGGGTTTGCAGCACTGTCAACAAAGTAAAGGGTGAATACTTTGAGGAATCTGAATCTAAAATACAAAACATATTTAGTTATTTCACTGTACTTTCACTTTATTTGATACATAATCTTGCTTTGTGTATTTGACACTTTCTGTATTTATCTATAAAATGTAAAGTAGTACCATAACAGAAAAAAACAAAACAAAACATTAAATAAGACTGTGTGTTCAAACATTTGACTGTAGTGTGTTCATCTTGTTTCTTTTCATTCAGGTAGAAATAACTGACCACCCCCTGAGTGTGGGAGAACTTGGAGGATGAATATGATTAAACTATTAAAGAATGTAAAACAAAATGACCCCAGTCTCACCATTGGTCAGGATCACAGCTTTGTCCAGTTGGGTGATGATGTCCTCTTTGACTCCAGAGAGCTGAAACACACAGTTGTACTTGTGCCATTCTCCAGCTGGGATAGAAGACACGTCCAGCTCCACACTCATCTGGAAGGTTCCGTCGTGGTTGGGCAGGATCTCCCCGGGGTCCACGCCGTCATGAAGCTCGACTCCATCTTTAGTCCAGAACAGCATGGCTCCGTCGGGGTAGAAACCTGTGGCGTGGCAGGTGACCGGGGACGAGGAAGACTTCTGCAGGAGGGAGATAGAGGGGAGGACTGGGAGAGGAGAAGAGGAGTGTGAGGTACAACTTCATGTTTACACTATGGACTATCAAGATTATTTGGTCAGTTAAGAATGTTCACAATATAAACAGAAGTAACACAAATATGATAAAAGTGAGAATCAACACTCCAAAAAAGAAAAAAACTAAATAACTGTGATTTATATCTGGAAGTTTACGTGACATTAACTTTATAAAGCTGGTCACAAACTAGAGGAGTCTAATCGTCCATGTGAATGAAAGTGAATGAAGGACTGCACTGGAGTTTGGTTATGGTGTCAAGAATTGTGCATATTTGTTAATTTGTGACATTTTTTGCAGAATAATCAAAATCATATTCATCATTTTATATTCCTATACACACAAACTAAAACATAAAAAGAGTAAATAAGAAGGAAAAATACATTCAGGTTAATTAATACTTGTATCTGATATGAAAGCACAAGTTTGGAAATACAGTATGACATTTATTTTCCACAAACTCAAATTTAAATGATATATATTCTTTTAATTTATTCCACTCAAAATGCAAAATTGTAATATTTATGTGAGATTTATGGTGATTATGTAATATGCTGAAATTATGAACTGAATTCTTGTTATTTTGCATTTGGTTAGACATTAAAATAAATATGTGTTAATTTTTTATATGTTGTTTTTCAAGTTTTGTGGGGAAAAAAGTGTGGAACAAAAGGAGAGTGATAAATGAGAGAACTGTGTCAGAGGAGTTTGTTTGTGGAATTTTGAGAAATAAAAACTGAAACAGGTGAGATGATTTTACCTGTTCTCATCAGAGTGTCCTTCCCATAACTGACGTACTTCTTCAGCCACTCAGGACACTCCTGGGTGTAGTAGTTTTTCTTAATAGGCAATATTGGCTTCATCACTGTCCCACTTGAGTTTGGTGATGAAGGCCTCTTGTCTTGGTGCGATCCATGTCTCTGTCTTCAGGTCAAACACAATGAAATCTTCTCCATCATAACCATACTGTCTGTATCCAGTCACTCTGTCGGTCTCACTGTTCCATTCACAGCCGTACATGTTCTGGAAAATGTGTGCCCCTGAGAGAAACAAACATCACTGAACCACATCCACACAAACTCCAACCTCCTGACGCGCACCGCCCCAGCCGTCGCCACGGAGACGGAACGGGCGCCGCGGTGACGGGGCAGAGGCGGCGCGGTGCATGATGGGAAACCGAGTAAAAACCCGCACCGCTCTTTACGAACACGTCTACGGCGAGAAACTACAGACGCTGTCCTAAAACTCCAGAAGAGAAACAAGAGCAGAACGGACAGCACTGAGGAGAAAAGGGAGAAAGAGTGATTCATGAATATAGGTCTGTTATAAGAGCAAGGAAATGATCGAAATATACTGGAAAGAGAACGCTTATATGGTGAGTTTATTTCAATCTATAGTCGTTTTGTAACAACTAAATACAAGATGAAGTTATTATTGGATGAAAAATGTAAACCAGATTGAGGAATGAATAAAACTGTTGATAAAAGAGAAAGAAATAACTATAACTATAATGCAAATAACAAGAGAATACACACAATAGGTGATTTTTTTAAATATTGGGAGTCATTTTGAAACAACTGCTGTAGATTCATGTTTTCAGGGAATATTATAGAATGAAAAATATAAACTAAAATTAAAGAATAGGATAAGAACGCAAGTAAAAGAGGAAGAAACCTAAAACTATTACAAAGAAAAGGTTATACACAAATTGGTGAGTTTAAGGATGTAATTTTATAATATTTAAATGAAAGTTCAACTGATCTTGAATGAAAAAAAGAAGAAAATTAAAACATTGGAAGAAGAAGGAAATAACATGTAAAAAAGCTGAAAAATAATAAATTAATGGAGTGAAATTCTTTGTAACTTTTAAATAAATTAGGATTAAAGGAAAAAAGAATGTTAATGGATTAAAAAAATAAATTAAAACAAGTATTAAATTAAAAATACCTAAGAATATGGCTAAAATCTGCATAACTAAATAAGCATTTCATTTATTTAAACATGTAAATAAATGAAATAAATAAATCAACAATTAAAACTATTACAAAGAAAAGATTATACACAAATTGGTGAGTTTAAGGATGTAATTTTATAATATCTAAATGAAAGTTCAACTGATCCTGAATGAGAAAAAGGAGAAAATTAAAACATTGGAAGAAGAAGGAAATAACATGTAAAAAAGCTGAAAAATAATAAATTAATGGAGTGAAATTCTTTGTAACTATTAAATAAGTTTGTATTAAAGGAAAATACCTAAGAATATGGCTAAAATCTGCATAACTAAATAAGTATTTCATTTATTTAAACACGAAAATAAATGAAATAAATAAATAAACTATTAAAACTATTACAAAGAAAAGGTTATACACAAATTGGTGAGTTTAAGGATGTAATTTAAAAAAAAAAAAGTTCAACGAGATACTGAATGAAAATAAATAGGGGAAAATTAAAATGCTGGGATAAAAAAATAAATAAAAAGTAATAAATTCATGGAGTGAAATAATTTTGTAACAACTAGATAAGTTAGAAAAGGAAAAAAGAACATTAAAGGATTAAAGAAATACCTAAATCTAAGAATGGAAATTTGGCTACAAATCTGCATATTTACAGGTACATGTTTTATGTTTTATGTTTTATTATTTATTGTACTTTTTTTTTTTTTTAATATGCATTTTACTTTTAATTAATAATACAATAATAAATCATACAAATTGGTGAGTTTCTGTTTGTTTGTTTTTGTTTTATTTTGTTTTTGTTTTTGTTTTTTATGCGGTAATTTAGCAATAACAAAATAAACATTTAAACTATTCAAATGTTTAAGGAAATGTTCAATAAAATGTTTGAACCAAATTGAGAACTATATGAGAATGTTAAAGTTAGCTCTGCACTAAATGGTATGTTTTAATCTAAGATATAGTTTTGTAAGAATACACAAAAAATATAACTAAATTAAGTAACTATTGAATGAAAATGTAAAAAATTAAAATTAAATAAATTGAGGAATGGATAAGAATGTTGATATGAGTAAATAATATAATCTATAATTTGTTGTTAAGATTAAACTGCAGAAGTAAAAATGAGTTTAATAGTTTTAATTTGATGGAATTTTGATAACTCCATTTTAATCATGTTGAATGGAATGAATAAGGACTATAACTATCACAAAGAAATGTATATTATAAATTGATTTTTTTTTTTATTTACTTATTTTTTTTATTATTATGTATTCATTTCTTTTTAAATGAATATTTGGTTAATGTGCCAGTTATAACGTAAGCTTTAGATTTAAATTAAACTTTATTTATAGTTTATTCAGTTTGTATTTCAGTGTCACAGACATGGAGAGACAGAACAGAACGGTTTGGTCAAAAGAGAAAATGAAAGACAAACCTCCAGTTTGGTTCATGCGCTGCTTTGCGATTTCAATGTTGCCTTTGTAGGTCTGCTGGGAACCCAATAACCCCTGAGTCTCTCCCTCCCAGTACTGAGGGTCTCCTTCTGACACTTTGTCCATCCAGTCCTGTTTGGGCACTGCTCTCTTTGTGTTACTGTCATAATAAACCATCTGAACATCGTCAACCAAAGCCACAACAACAAACTCTGGGAAGTTTGGGACTTCAGACGATGCCGTGTAGAAATACTTCAGGGAGTGTGTCACTGTGAAGAAAAGTTAATTCAGTGTTTAATTATTCATATTGAATGGTGTTATAAATATTCCCACATTAAAATTATACAACAACTACACCTACTACAACAACTACTACAACAACTACAACTACAACTACTACTACTACTACTACTAATAATAATAATAATAATAATAATAATAGGATTTAGACAAACAGACAAAAATATGGCCCAATTTGAGGCAGTAATATCGTCCCCAACAGGCAGACTAAAGATATTACATTGGCCTATAATTGTCTTTTGTCTCAATAATTTATTGAAGCCTATTAGACCTGTGCACTAAATAATGCAGCAAATATATGATTATTTAGATGATATTACTGACTTTTTAACTACCATTGTCCAACTATATTATCATCAATGGAAACAAGAGGGAAGAAATAAAGAATAAGCCACCCGGAATATAGTAGAGGCTACAGGGTCACTGTGAGAAACAAAATGTAAGAACTTCAACTTCAGTTAGTCTAAGCAATGGATTTTACAGAAATGATTCGACTTGGTTTCATTTAAACCTACTTCAATGTCAGGCACTTATGATAGGCTATTTTAAACAGATCTTTAATTATGAAAAAATAACTATAAAAGATTTTAAGTCCTAAGCATGTTGTTCCTTGATTCTGCAGCACCAACGCCATCAAGAGGAAGGTACTAGACATTACACACACTAAAGCGTTTATAAGTAAAAATAAACAAACAAAACCAAACACTTTAATGATTAAGTTACATTTTAAGCTCACTGATTGCTCCTGTTAATCGACTAAATCAAATGCTCTAATAACAAATAGTCAATAATCGAATGTATCCTGTTTTAGCCCATTAAAAAAACACTGTAGCGCCATAAAACATTGTCCATTAAAATAAATGCACTCACTTGAAGAGACGCCGTGTAGGAACATTCCCAAAACAACCAGACTCACGCAGAGCTTCATGGTGAACTGTGGCCCAACAAGTCTCCTCATGATACGGACCAACAGAACCAACTGCACCGGACTTATGAACGGAACAACTCTCAAGAGGAGCACGGAAACAGAACAGAAAAGAGGGCTGCTGAGTGGGAGGTGCCTTCTGGATTTACTCTATTTCACCAATCATAATTCAGTATCTAGGCAAACGTGACTCTGAAAGGTTTGAAGAGAAAGTGAAAGTAATATTTGATGGCGTCGTTTCTAATATTTCAGTGTTTTAACGCTTATGTCGTGTGTTTTGTCTCATTAACACTGTCAGTAATGTCAGCAAATCAGCTTTTTAATAAGAGATGGGAAGCTGCTTTAGGACATTTATTGTTACCAAACATTTGAGAAGAGCTATGCCTGTCACCTGAGGGCAGTATAGATGAGGTCTGGTTCCATATCCCTGACATTTTTAGACTGTGGTGTTGAAAATATACAAAACTGTGACTTTTCCATCTCTAAATGAACACTCAGATGATTAACATTCCAACAGGTCTTTCTTTTTAAATTGGAAAAAGGCACACACAATTTTACTGCACGTAATACCAACAAGAAAATCTATTTTTTATGAGGACTGGGGGAAAGGGAATTTGGTCTGTTTCACTTTTAATAGATTCTGAAGGGAAAATTACTAACCAGCCTAATAAATATGATTATGATATGAGACAATGCAATACAATGATTTTTATTTATTTATTTTTTTTGTGATCAACTTTTTCTTTTATTGAACTACAGCATTAATTGCATTGGCTGTACATTTATGAGTTCTGAAATGCTTGAAATAATCACATGAGTTCAGCTTACATACAGTACATATTCATAATTACTGCAATTCAATTAAAAAATAAATAAATAAATAACAACCTCCCACCCCGATCCAAAACCTCACCCAAGCAAAGGTCTGTTAGAAAGTTGTTGTAGACGCTTAATGAAAACATGCAATAGGGTAACTGTGTCACTCTTGGCCCTGTGCACTCTGCCTACAGAGAGTTCTAGCTGGGCTATATCCAAAAACATTCTTGACCAAGTATGAATAGATAAAGAATGTGGCGGCTTCCAGCTTGTGGCCAACATTTTCTTTGCTGCCATGAGGCCTGACAACAAAATCCTTCGCTTGGCCACTTAAATTTGACTTGTGAGAGATTATTTAATAACACAATGCAATGATTAAAGCTATTCTAGTAGAATAGTTAAATCTGGTTCATGGTATGACAGGATTACACCAGGATTCCCGGTACTCACTATGTTAGAACTGAAAGACAAAATGTATCTTAAAAATGGTTGGTGCACTTCAAGATTTTCCATAATATCCTAAAAAAGATTAGAACTTCCGCTCATTTGTACTTCCCATAAAGACAAAGAAAGTCATTTTTAAATTGTAAATGACATTTTTATGTCATATTAAATCTAAAGAAGCTATTGTAATTAATAATGTTCTGCAGTCAGATGTTGAAGACCTTTTTGCATTTTATTTGCATTATTTATTATCTGTAATAAAAAACTGTATGGACTCTTATAGCTTTGTACTACTCCAGATTATTTTATAATTCAGGTAAAACAAGGCTTACTTCACTTTAACCTTGAAGTATTTACCTTGAGTAACTATAGCAGTAACATGCTTTCTTCTGTATGATCATAAGTTAGCATAGTGGCTGAATAGGAGTAGCCTATTTTAAGCCCATGTCTTTGTCTGTAAGCAAAACTATATGTTCTGTAAATTTACTATACTGGTAACAAAACACATAAAATGCACTTAATATTATTTATTAATAGTACAAGATCTGATTGATCTGTTGAGTATAGTTCTAGTATTTCACTTTTCTAAAATGTTGTTGATCTCAGAAATGTAACAGCAGCTACAAGACACTGAGTCCTTTCACTTTGCACATTTTTGTTTACCATGAAATTATCTCAAGATGAACAAATGAAGCCAAACTGAGACTTTATTGTCATTCAACACCAGTTAACTGCATGTGTGGAATATAAAACTGTCTTTAGCCTCATACTGAGCTGAAAGGGAAATTATGATTCAGCTGTTTTATGTTTTATTTGATTTATTCAGTGTTTGGGTTATAGTGTTTTGTCATATTTATTGTTTTAATGAAGCCTATTGGAGCTTAACGAAAGATTTTTTTTCACTGTGTAGCATAGTTTTTTACTGCTGAAGGACACTTTGGAAACAGTTTATAAAATGTCCTATTACATAAAAAGTAGAGTGGATTGAAAGACAAAGGTTAGGCCTTGTTCTATAGCCTATATTATTCAAGGATGATGGTCAGTGCTGCTGTTTATCACTTACACAGAACAAAATGCTCCAAAAACACATCACAGGTTCAATCAAAGCAACTACAGATTTGCTTAACTATAGTTTATTTGTATTATTATGTGAATATAAGACACAAAGTCAGTAACTGGTGTCTTCACATCAAAGCAACAATATTAATTTTTAAAAGCAAAGACCAATAACTGCTCAACTACATTTAGATAAATATTAGCGACAGAGACTGATACGCCGATATTTGCAGTTTTGAACATATCAGATATCAGCCTTAAATATCCAGCAGAGGGCAATATTTTCTTAGAACCAACCAGATGCTTAAAGAATCTGCATAGTTTTATTTATACCTCCACTGAGAAAAGAAAACTGCACAAAACATGACTACACTGCTCTCTAATTCACTTTGTATAAAACAGGACTGTGAGTAACTTTGTGGTAGATTTAAATGATATAATTTGGGGGAAATAATCATAATTGGACCTACATATTGGCCCAAAAATATCAGTCATTGGTTTCTCTGGATTCTACACAGTATCATATAATTCAGTCTAATAAATAAATGTGCTCCAGTGCATAAAACTCACAAACACAAAATACAATGAGTGATAAGTGCACAGACAAAATGAGTTGGTTTTGTTTCAGTGGAGTTCACCTCTAAAAAGCCCAGTTACCAAATGAGATTCACTAAACACTCGCCCCGATATGTCAAACTGGATATGATCAACTAATGATTGAAGTTAAGCATCAAACTCTAACTTGATGTGATAAAGCTCTAAAACAATGTGAGAAAAAAAGCCAAAATGAAGTTTAAGATACACCTGACTGTCCCTGTCACTCAGTTCAGTGGTGCTTCAGTGGTGCTGTCAGGAGCAGTGGGCGACGGCAGCTCCAGGGACACATCTCCAGATCTCAGACCAATGGTGGAAGAAGTACTCAGTTTTGTTAGTTAAATAAAAGTGCACAAAAAGGAGCAAAAAAAAAAAAAAAAAAAAACTCAAGTAAAAATAAAAGTATACATGAAAAAATCTACTTGAGTAACAATGTATCTGTTTAAAAATGTACTTAAAGAGTAAGAATAAAAGTATTGGGTGCATATTTTTTAGGTCTTTTGAGGCTTCAAATGTAATGATTTTGATAAAGATTTGTTCTGAAATTTGTTCAGTAGAAACAATTAAACTAGTCATGTTTTTTCTAACTGTTTTTATTTGTATATTTTTATTTGCCCAAACTACAAATGTGTTCAAAATAAATCACCAGCCTTTTTGACAGGTCTCAGACAATAATAAAAAAAAAACTTTAACTTTTTAGCCCTGTTCAAAAATGTAGAGGAGTAGAAAGTACAGATACCTTTACTACTTTTACTTCAATACATTCCACTACTGGTCAGGATGATTTTAGCTGGAGGATGAGTCTCTTGTGCACGTTCAGGTGGATAAGGTAAACCAGAGGACACCACCCAGACACAGGGAGAACATGCAAACACTGCCAATCACTAAACCACTGTCCCTGTTTGTGGCACCACTCACTGTCTCGTTTGATCAGTTTACATGTAGAGTAATATTTTACAAACAAGATGTACTTCTGATGGCATTTACAACATTGTGTTTTCTGATGGATGTGACTCAAAGTGTAACTGTCCAGTAAAAACCCTCCTGTCTTATGAATTGCCACAACTTAAAAAGATAAGATGAGCTGTAATTATATAGATAAATAAATAGACATATAAGAAGAATCAGAGTTAAGAGACATTAAAAAGATGAAAAGAGTAAAAAGCAGTCCATGCATAATTACATTAAATAAATAGATAAAGTGCTGAGGAGCTGGAGGAACTGACCAAACCACTGTTGAAGCAGGTGGAGCAGGTCAGTGGGCGGAGTCTAGTGCTCACATCTCCACTGAAGGGAGAAAACTGGGTGCAGGGGGTGGCTCTTATCCTCACCAGTGTCCTCTGTTCCTCCACCTAACTTCTGTGTGTTTGCGTTTTATAATATTTTTGAAGTATTTATTGACAGAAGTATCAGAGAATACAGTGGTAGAGACTTTTGGCCAACCGATGGAGACTCAAACCCACGCTGCAGGCAGGCAAGATGTTCCACTATGTTTAACCACTAAAGCTGCGTTCACACTGCAAAATCAAAACTGGGAGTCAACTTTAGGGCTGCAACTTACAAGTATTTTAGTAGTCCACTAGTAAAATATCTCCAAATATGCTTTATCCCTGTCTCATTTTGATTTAATAATGGTGCTGTGTGCTTCGTGATCAAATGTTTTCTCAGAATATGAAAGCTTGATTATGGTTCAGAAAACTATTAATGATTATTAAAAGAGTCATTGATTTTAAGAAGTCATTTAATTGATTATTCTGATGACTCTTGCAGCCCTAAACCAAAACCAGACTAAACTAGACTAAACCAGGATTAAAACATGACTAAACCAAGTCTACTTTAGGACTAAACTGGGCTAAAATCAGGACTGTGAAGTGTCCATGCAGTATGTGTGATCTTTATTCAGATTGAACCTCAGAGTAAGATGGAGCTGCAAATAAACACAACACAAACTGAAGTCAAAAACAGCATAGAAAGAAACCAAATCTTGTTGTAATGTACCAACTATTACTTACGGTATAGGGAAGATTTTGCTGGAATAAGAGAATAATTACGTTTAGCACAAATGCAAATATAGTACAGAAATAAAACATAGATTTATTGTTTACCCTTTATCCCACGGTACTTGTTTTTGAGGAGAAGGACAACAGCAAACAGTATAGCAACACTGAACACTAGTGCAGGGATTATGAAGACAGTTATTAAAGAATGGAAGGTGTTTGCATTTTCTTCTCTGCTGAAAGAAAATACATTCAAATTTAAAAGAATCACAAAGAAAATAACATTAAAGGCATTTTGATTTGTTAGGACTAGGGCTGTTAAAAATGTTCAAATACAAATCAATACTTAAATTAGTAAAACTTGGTACTCATTTGAACAAGTATCAAAAGTGACATTTTCCTTGTCTTTTCTTTAGTATTGAAATTGAGCTTGAACTTTTAGTATCATAGCACTAGTCACGACAGTAAGACAGAGGGAGAGTCATTTGTCAAACTATTGGAATAGGGATTCAAACATGTGACATCAAAGTAGATTACCATGCATACTGTATGTACTGCACCTCTACTACTGAGCCACATGATAATACAGTACAGTGGAGGCTTTCTATTTCAATCACTCACCATTAGGGCTGTACAATTAACCCAATTTGAATAAAGATTGAGATTCAGTCTTTTGTAAACATCAGCGATCAGCTTTGTGTTTTTTTACTCAAGACATCTACAGCTAGTCCTTAGTAAAAGTAGAGCAGTGTTCAGTTTTTTGGGGAAGATATTTGATGATTTGAATTGTTTTTCTTTTAATAATTGTGATTTGAATTTGTTCCATATTGCCCAGCCCTATACTGACCATTGCTTCTGATGCTTTCTTTGTCCAGTTGGGTGATGATGTCCTCTTTGACTCCAGAGAGCTGGAACACGCAGTTGTACCTGCCCCAGTCTCCAGATGGGACAGCAGACATGTCCAGCTCCGTACTCACCTGGAAGGTTCCATCGTGGTTGGGCAGGATCTCCCCGGGGTCAACGCCTTCAAAGAGCTCGACTCCATCTTTAGTCCAGAACAGCATGGCTCTGTCGGGGTAGAAACCTGTGGCGTGGCAGGTGACCGGGGAAAGGAAAGACTTCTGCAGGAGGTAAATACTGGGGAGGACTGACAAACACAAAATAAGACATATTATTAATGGCTTATTTTATTTATAGAAATGTCTACTTTTTATTTTTGTCCTCAAGTACATTTCTACACTTTGCATATAAAAATACATCTACTGCAACAAAACCTGTTACCTGTAAGGGAAGGTAATTGTTATGGTGAATGCTTTTTCATCTAAATCCAATTTAGTATGCTAAAATATGCTCCACTGATATATATCTACTTAATTCAGGTTTTGTTTTTTCTTTCTATGTGACTTTGCCAAAATCTTTGTCCAGAAGGTGCTTAAATCAACCAATTAAAAACAAAACTAATTATAATTTTTAATAAATACATTTTTTTTATGTTCTGACAACTTTCATATCACATGTGTCAGTGATGAAAAGTTACTCACTGTTATTACAGCAATTAACAATTCAAAACCAAATATTATATATATATTGGTCAAAGTACTCAAAATCCTAGAAGCTGAAACACATGACAACAGCAAAAATTCAAATCAGTTATCTGCCTTATAGAAAATGTGGATATTGTAAACGTTAAATCTGTTTCTTTTTCTGCCTGCCAATAATTCTCTATTTGCCTTTTTGTTTTGATGAGGTTTGCTCTGTGTATAAGAGAGAAATAACTGACTTCACATTCATACCTGTTCTCATTAGGGATTGTTTTCCAAATTCAAGGTATTTCTTTAACCATTCAACACACACATGAGTCAGATATGTTTTATCCTTCTGAATTTTTGCCTCGTCCCTGTCCCATTTCATTTTTGTGATCATGGCTTCTGGCTTTGGGGCAATCCAAGTTTCCGTTTCCAGATTAAAGGCTATGTAGTCTTCTCCATTGTAACCAAACTGATTGAAACCATTCACTTTTCCAGTTTCATCGTCCCATTCACAGCCGTACATGTTCTGAACAATATGGGGCCCTAGGAGAAGAAAAATAGGAAATCATTATTTTTCTATTAGCTATTTAAAAATATGTTCTAAGACTCAAATAAAACTATATAAGGCAGTGATGAACCCAGTAATGTTCAATTCTAAAGGTTAACCAGTCTGGAACCATCTCCAACTTAACACTTTGCCATTTACTTCATTTTAATAATAATAATAATAAATAACACTTGTATAGCGCTTTTCAAGACACTCAAAGATGCTTTACATGAAGAGACAAAGGAAGGCAGACAAAAAAATAACAAAGTTAATGAAAGGTGGTTTTAAAGAGATGGTTTTCAGGGCTTTTTTTAAACATGGGGGAGTGTGGATGAGTCTCGGATTGGGCAGGGAGGGTGGGGGCAGCAGTGGAAAAAGACCCTATCCCCCCAAGTCTTATGTTTTAGTCTTGGTGGAGGTTATCGTCAGCTGATCGGAGGGCACAGGTGAGGGTGTGGTGGTGAAAAAGCTCAGAGAAGTAGGTGGGGGCCAGGTAATAGAGGGACTTGTATACAATGGTGAGAATCTTAAATTGGATTGAATTGAATCAGAGGAGATCTCTGAGGAGAGGGGTGATGTGAGCTGCAGGTGAGGAGGCGGGTAGCAGATTTCTGGATGTACTGGAGTCTGTTGAGGAGTAATCGAGGTTGAGTTGAGGGAGATGACAAAAGCATGGATGAGAGCTTCAGCAGACTGCGGGGAGAGGGATGGGCAGAGGTGAGTGATGTTACAGAGGTGGAAGAAGGCAGTTTGATGTGGTGTTCATAGGAGAGGTCTGGTCAAAGATAATGCCAAGGTTACGGAGGTGGGAGGAGGAGAAGACTGAGGAGCCACCGATGAAGAGGTGAGGTTATTGTGGGTTTTGCTGTTTTGGGACCGATGAGGAGTATTTCAGGTTTGTCACAGTATAATTTGCAGTTTTTTAAATTTATTTTGTATAAATTAATAGCTTTGATGGAGTGTGGCAGAAACCTGGAAACTTATCCTGAAACCCACACCCCTAAAATCAATGAATTCACTGAGGGATTTGTTCCTATCTACTGTAGTTGCTGTGGAAGTGTAAAATGCATTACTAGACTATGTTAAAGGTGTTCTATGTAAGCTTTCTGATATAGGAAAAAATGTGTTATAAAAATATTATTGCTATGCCAAGAATGCCAGTATGGTAAAAACATAATTCCATACATGTGTTTTTATTGTCAAAAATTATTAATGTGCTCCTCTCCATAGAGACTGCTAAATTTTATGCCAACTTGTGGAAAAAACATCTCCATAAAACATAGGTTTGTGACTTAAAAGGTTCACAGTGCCCCTTTAATAATCTCACACATTTATATACTACTCACCTTTTGTTTGATTGAGGCGCTGACTGACAGTGTCTATACTTGCTTTGAATTGTTTCTCTGTTGCCATGGATATCTTGGTCTGTTTATCCCAGTATTCTGCCTCTTCTGTTTGCTTCATCCACTCCTGTTTGGGGACCTCTCTTCTTTGGGTGCTGTCATAGTAGGAGATCGGCTGATTGTTGACCAATCCAACTGTCACAAACTCGGGGAAAGATGGGATCCCTCTGGATGCAGTGTAGAAGTACTTGAGGGAGTGAATGACTGCAACAGACAATGGGAGACATATTTTCGTTGGATTTAAAAGTGGCCTATGCAGCTTTTCTGGTGGAGGGTCTGTCATCTGCTTGTCTCCATGGAGATGCTATTGCTTTGCTAAGAAAGTTTCACAGTATGGCATTTTTATTAGCATAACTATTTACATTCAACAGGTCAAAATACATTACACAAACTCTGGGATAACTTTAAACTGTCTGCATTGGGACAAGTAGGTAGTACCACAAGTCACATCTGTGGAGAGGTGACTCTGGTATTTTCTATGAAGGTAACAAACTCCCCTCAAGAAATGGTATGTGCACAGTGAATCATTGTTATTTGGCATTGTCAGTATCCCCAGAAGTTTTATGTCACCTTCAAACCTGCCCCAGGCTCAAAGTAGCCCTTAGAGAAAACTGTCAACTTCTTCAAAAAAATCAGACATGCATAGACACCTGACTCTACTTCAACAACACCCCTCCATTTTATTTAGTCATTTATACAGACAAATCACATTAAAAGCTCTAATGTTCACAAGTTCAAGGTTATGCTGAAATATATAGGCTTACAATATGTCAACAAATGATTAACAGCTATAAACTCACCTGCCACTGCGTCATGTACCCCTAACGCCAGAAGGGTAAAAACAAAAAACGTCCCCATTATTTTACATATTGCACCTAGGCACTGAAAAAGGATGCTGGCTGTTAGGGCAGTGGCGGGTGACAGTTATAACTTCCATTACACTGTAAATAGAAACTTAAAACATTTGCCAATAGAAATGTGAGCTTGGCAAAACGTCACTTGTACGTAGGCAGAAAAGGGATTCAAAGGCTTATGCTGAAATAAAAGTAGACAAATTTTTAATGCAGATGGTCTGAATGATCACCATGCACATAAATACACTGTAAACTTATGACAGACGTTGTTGTTGTTATTATTTCTGTCAGTCTATCGTTCTGCAGAAGTGTACTAGTCCTGTGGATTAGTCAGAGCGAATGTGAAACTGTCTGTGAGCCGCTGTTTCTTATAAATCACCTGACCATCATGGGCGGGGAATGGATGATCAAACAAACTCAAACAAACAAACAAACATTTTGTAACAGACAGACATAGGTGTATTATGGGTGTGCCTTGTATTTATTTATAGACGAAAAACCTCCTTGATATTATTGTTGTGTGTGTATATATACATTTCATGCTGATCCTTAAAATTTGAACATAGCCATGAAGTTATTTCCATTAAGGGTTCATTAATTATGTAATGAAGTTAATGTGTGATTTAAAGTGTTTGAATAATTTTAAAAAAGAAAGAAAAAATGAAAGAAAATGCTGAAGTATGCTGCGTCCAACCATAGTCTATATCTGTGTCCTTTTTCTTGGCCAAGGGCGACATCTAGTGGCAGGTAGCGTCATACATAAATTTGATACACTGGTGGTTAATAATAGTAGCGTTATAATTTTCGCTTTATGAGTAAAATAGGCCTACGATATAGCTTAATAAGGATGACCAAAATATTCAACAACATTTTTAGCCTACATTTCTGGCGGAGTGGTTTGTAAAAACAACCGGAAGTTAGCTTCTCTGGCGTAGTTGAATGAATTCGAAAGTGAAAGTGGGGTAAAGTGAGCTAGTTTGGGGGGAAATCCGTCGTTCGAAAGAGCACTTCTCACTGGACTCAGGACGGAGCACAGGCGAAGATGTCGAACTTCTCAACAATTTACAAGCTCTCTGTGCTCGCTGTACTTTCTCTAGTACAAGGTGAGTTTTAAGGTACTGGTGTGTTGTATGTATGCATGTGCTATTTTGTGCTTTTATGCTCAACTTTTAATAATATGCCAACTTGACACATCCCATACTGTAAGTTATCAAAAAGCCTACGTATTTATTTTGATGGCAACAGTTACCTTAGTATGCGTTGCTGTATAGACAAACAGATAATATGTGCAGCTGGTAATTCCATTAAATGCCGTTATAAAGACAGTTTTCATTACAAAGAACATTTGTTTAGGTAAATGTGCACCACCTGCTTGTCTCCAAAGATTTGCTTTCGCTTTGCCTGCAATGTTCCGTAATATGGCGTCGAAACTTATATCAAAAGTTACAGTTGACCTTTAAGGGGCGATAAGAGCTTGTCATTTTATTCTGGAAAAGGATTATTGCAGCTACCAGAAACATACGAATGAATAGAATTAAGAAAGGTTTTCAAAAGAGAAAATGAATCCAGACACAAGGCAAAGTTTACCCAAATGTTGAGCAATTTCACTTTTAGTTTTAACACTTAACAAAGGTCAGACTCTCCTGCTGCTGTTTTGTTTATTTATTTATTTTAGTTCATTTATTTTACATCTCTGTTGAATTTCTGTTGCAGTGTGCCTCTCGAGTTGCCCTGTAATGGAGTGCTGGTACACGCTAGAGAAAGGCAGAAGAGGAGGCTTAGCTTCATCTTCCAACCAAGTCAACTCTCTGCTTTTTATCAAGACCGAAGAACAGCAACATGACCGAAGGACCGTGAACACACCCTCTGATATCGAACATATGTTCTTCATTACAGGTGCACACTGCTTCTCAATGATGCAAATTACAGAACCCAGTCATTGCATTTATAGTGTTTCACAATCGACAGAATGCAAATATGGACAATGGGACATACAGGTTCTATTGACGAGTTTCATTGTGCTATCTATTTGCCAAATTGTATTACATTTACCACTTACACTTTTAAGTGCTAATTAATTGCCATATATTTTTAGTTAAATGAGAGGTAAGGCAAGTTTACTTGTATAGCACACTTCATACACAAAGTAATTCAAAGTGTTTTACAGAATAAGAAATACATTAAAATCACAATACAAACAAATAAATAATCATCATCAAATTAAAAAGAGAGAGAGAGACATTAAATTAGAGAGAAGAGTGCGGAATGAAAAATAAAAACCACAACAGTAATGAATGTACATAGGAGAAATAGAAGTAGATTAATTAAGGTTTATCAATAACAAAAACAAAACATTTCAAATAGTAACTCTAAATTGTAGAACATTGAAAAATTGTGTTGAAATTCACATGTTATTGCAGTTTTTAAGAATAAAGTGTAGAAATAAAATGTACATGCAATAAATATTGAGAGGAATAAATATGTCGACAAAAATAGCAACTATAACACAAATAAAAATAATTAATGTAAGGTTTGGCTTATGGCATAGTTTCTAAATGTGAAATTTGATAAAAATGTGTTTAACTGTGCTACTGTCATCTATGTTTTGATATGTAATTTGACACATCGAATATTGTAGGCCCTGTATAAAAGAAAAACTGCAAGATGGAAAAATATGTTTTACTAATAAACAAATAAATTTGAAGTGATTATTAACAAAAAAAACTAAACATTTCATTCTTATTGAGTATATCATAAATTGACTTTCCCTTCGCTCTCTCCCTCTCCTTTAGACCCCTCTGGCTCCCTGTGTCACCGGGCCCTGAACCCTCCTGTAGGCTCCATAAAGAAGCCTCACTGTGAGCTGAACCGGATTCAGCCGCAGCCTTCCTCTCTCCTCTGGGTGGCGCCGCTCACAGACTCTGCACAGAGCCCCTTGTACCTCCAGGCCGAGTGGTTTGCAGCCACAATCCACGGCCTCAATAAAGAGATGTCTGTGACCAGTGTCATACGCACTCCACCGGAGAGCGAACACAATGATGGTATGTATTTAAAAGATTTTTTATTTTATTTTATTTAAAGGAGATAGGTATGGGACAAGACACACTTTCCAAAGATACGAGACACAGGATTGGATCCACAGGAATGAGACAAGATGAATAACAGCTTCAAGATACGTAACTTCTCAGCTCTTAAACTCCATTTTTGTCCAGTCCAAATGTAAATACATGCAAAAAAAATCTCATCAATATTATTTATTTAACTTTATTTATTAAGGAAAAGCCCCTTGAGGTGAGTCACCTTGGTTTCGAGGGGGAATCTTAGTATCCAAAGGTTACAACAAGTCACAAAACATACTTTTTCTCTTTTGTGCACATTAATGTGGGATTTTTTTAGATCTCGAGGAGACATTATATCTTCATTATCTTACTCTGAGTTGTGCATTTGTTTGCATACTCTAGTATTGTCCTGCATTGGAAGCTTGTGTGCTCAAAAAAGTGTTTTCACCTACTCACTATCTCTATTATTTTTATAATTAATGGTTGTCCATATTCTTCCATTCTAATTTAAACTTTAGACATTTTTCCTTACAAAAAATTTTAATAAATCCAGTTTATTTATGATCTTGTTCATTTAGTGCGAATTTAACTTTGCATTGCCCTGGTGTAGTTTTGTTTTTGACACAGTTGGACTAAAGTAGATAAAGACATTTTAATTTAACTTCCCACTAAAATGCTGCTATGATGTCTAATTCAACATCACAACTTTGTACATAGTTATTGAACTTTTTTCTTACGCACTAATACAAGTAATTTCACTCCTTACCACAGTGATCTTGAGCGTGACCACTAAAACTGTCTTCGTGGCGGCTCGACTGGGGGAGACCGCTTTGTTGGACTGTAGTTTCTGGGTGGACCCCTCTTCCCCTCTCCACGGTGCTGGGTTTTCTGTGGAGTGGCGATATCAGTTCAGGGGAAACGGGCATCTAGTCTTGGGTTACGACGGAAAGACTGACCGCCTGTCCGATATAAGGGATGAAGGAGCCATGCTGGACTTCGAGAGTGTGCACCAGAACGGGAACGCGTCTCTGATCCTGTCTGACACTAAAGTCAAACAGTCCGGGACATACATCTGCTCTGTGCATGTGCCGTATCTCCTGGCACAAGTGGCACTGGAGCTGGAGATTGTAGGTGAGTAAGTTGTGATAGTAATATTTTTTTTTGTTTTATTGATTATTTGTAGCTGATGTCATCAACATTTCCTGGGGGTGCAAAGCTAACTGAAAGCACTCCTCTGTTGAAAGCTCTGTTACTCAAATTAGACTTAATCTGATCTTTATTTTAACACAATCTGACCAGAAAGAGCTGACTTGCTTTGAATTACAATAGGTGACATCGTTTGTGCACTTAAACCAGTCTCACATATAAAATTGCATTCATGTTGCAGTCACGTCATGTTGTTTAAATCTTATCTAAGCAAGCACTTAAAACTTAAAACTACATTTAAAGGAATAAATGCACATTTTAATCGAGCAGGTCCTGAAACAATAAAACCAGTCAGATCTAATAAAAGTTTGAATATATAACAAAATAAGAATGACGCAAAATCACATTCATAAAATGGAAATGATACAGTATTGTGAGTAAAGTGTATTTCAGACATAAGTAGGATACACCATGCATGTCATTCTGAATTGAATTTGATGATACTCAATAGATAAATGAAATCTCTGTGAAAAAATAATAGTCTTGTAACTCTTGTAACTCAACTTGTAACTGTAACCACATTACACACTGAATCTACTTTATACCACATCTTCACCAAACAAAATTTGATGATTTTATTAAATTTGTGTTTTGATTGTTCCCTCCCCAGAGCCCCCGTCTGTCTCCATCCACCCGTCCCCTCCCCCCCTCATCATCCCCGGACAGACTGTGACTCTGCACTGTGAGGCTTCTGGATTTGCCCCTCTCTCTCTGGACTTCAGTTGGGAACTCACAGATTCTGAGGGGAATGTTACACCTCTGGGGTCGGGCAGCGTGTCAGGGCACAGAGAGGGCTACGATGGCACTTACAGTCAGACCAGCAAACTGCAATTGGACTCAGCCAAACTGGAGCAGGGGAGAGGAGGCGAGCTGACCTGTGTGGCAGAGCATCCTGGCGGCACACGAAGGACTAGTGTCAACCTCAATGTCATTGGTAATTAAAATTCCATAAAAAAGCTATGTAGGATTTACGCTGGGTGACTGGTGGATTTCAAATAATCTCACAACATTTTGTAACCCAATAACATTTAATAAAGATGGGGGCATCTAAAATTAAGATTGTTAAAATACAGTTTTTTGTTGTAATATGGTGAGTTTTTGGGGTAGTCATTATACAAATGATCAGGTTCAACATTTGTGAATTTACCTTTAGGATATTTCATAGAAAAGTACAGTGTAATCAATCGGTAAATCTGGCTCTTGCCCCCATCTGAGAGTACGACACACAGTATCATCACATTCTAGAATATGAAAACCGCCAATAGGGTTGTGACCCAAATACTAATTGATACTGAAAGTAGTAGCACAATGGGATACTTGAATGCACAAGTACTGATGCTGAAATATAATGACATAAATAGTATGGGTTTTTGACATTTTCTGAATAGTTATGGAATGGTATATCTAATCTATATCAGAACTAGCCCAGTAGGTACTGTACTGTGATTGCCAGCTTCTCCTGACAGGTTCCCCCTGCTACCAGATACCCAATGGTTAATAAAATAATGATTTTTTTAATCTACATCTAAGGCCAGAACAAGTAAAGTCCAGGCCACAAAAAATTACAAACTCTTGTCTTTCTGATGACACTGAAATCGTTGTCTATTCCATGTATTCATAGGTTTTAGTACTCCATCTATCGAAGATTCAATGGCAATGGTGGGAGTGGCTTTAGTGCTCTATGGCCTTATCAAGTTTGTCTCATGGACTTTCACTGGTTCAGGTGAGTGTAAAAAGAAAACGTCCCTCCCCCTCTCTCTGTCTTTCTCCCTCTCTGTTGTTTTTCCCTGTCTTTCTCTCTGTGTGTATCTCTCTCTCTCTCTCTCTCTCTCTCCTCCATCTCTTTGTCTCTCTCTATCCCTATGTTTCTCTTAAATTTTTTATGTATTATTTTTCCACTTTATGAAATATGGGGCCGTGCACATTAATCATATGTTAGTTCAGCACGTGAATGTGCCAAATTAGTCACGCAGGCTCATTTTCATGTGTAGTCCCATTGCCAGTTTGATGGCGAGACAAAGAAAAACAGGACATAAGCACAATAACATTCAGTCCTTCACACATGACAAAGACATTAAAGATCAGTGAATATTAACTGTAGTCATATTAGTAAAATTAGAACATGCTAAAAGCACACATTGCACACAGATTCAAGACAATAAACAAAAATCTCAATCACACAACAAGACAGAGACATTTGCTATGTTATGTTAAAACACATACAGATTAGGCAATGTTATGTTCACATGTCTGATTGTCCAGAAGTCACATTAAAATAGCTAGAGTGACCACAACTAAGTGCAGATGTAATATATTTTGTTATATGGTTCTTTGTCTGTTTAGTACAATACAAACATTTCTAACTTGACTTTGATCTAAGGAACAGACTCGATACTCAATACCGATACCACAAGGAAAAAAGAAATAAATAAAACTTTTTTTTTTTGAGAAAATAACACACAACAAAGAAAGCATTACAAACAATTGACAGTGGACACACAAACACACTACATCTACATTAGAAACTCTCTCCCTCTCTCTCACTGCCCAGCACTAATTTTCTCTTTTAAATGCTTGCAGGTGATGATGAATCTGATGAAAAGGTAAAAAGTTTCAAATTTTAGTTAATCCCTAAAAATGATAATATCATAGTACTGTTGTATAGTAACAAAAATGATTGACTATTATTGTTATTTTCATTACAGAAAAAGAATTAAACATCAGATCTCTGTGAAGAACATTAGTTGTAACATGAAGAAAGATGTGATCATTTGGGAGTGGAATTTTGTTTAAACATTATTGTTTCTTTTGATGTCTTCACATCTGGAAAGTATCTTTTGCATCTATGGAAGTGGTATCAAACCTGTTTAATTTTCTTTTCCTGCTGATGTTTCTTATTTTGGTACAATATTTACATGTGTTTAACTGTTGAGGTTTTATCTCTAAGTAGGAAGGATTTGAAAGTGAATGTTAAATTAGTGAAAATGTGTTTTTGTATATATGCTTGCCAGTGTGTAATGTATTTTATTTTTCTTGTTTTTCTTTGAAAAGTTACTTACATAAAATTAACTCATTACTCTGCCCTCTACACACATGTCCCAAATGACACACTTATTGGAATAACATGAAAAATGTGAAAAATATTAATGATTTAGGTTAGTGTGTTTACTGTTAAATTGTGTGTATATTAGACAGAAATGGTCAAATGTAAATTTGTTGTTTGTAAATATTAGGAGGTATGTATATTTGTAATATTTTCCCATGGCAGAGTGAGATCACATAATTAAGTTTTACAATAATAGGTCTGTCTGCTCTTTAAGATGAATGTGAATAAAATGGTAAAAAAATGGGCATGTGATATAAAGGTTTTGTGAATTAAATAGATGCCACTCACATCTTTACATCTCACACTTTAGCCATAAGTACCATATAAATAAAAATACTTTGTTGTCTTTTTAAACTGACCTTAAATAACTCATGGATCTATTAAAATAACCACGCCATAGTCTGCACTGTTGGGCAAGTTACTTTAAAACTGTAATGCGTTATTTATTACTTATTACTGTCATTTCAAAGTAATTCGTTACATTACAATATTACTGCATTTAAAATGTAAGGCATTACATTACTATTGCATTACTTTAAGTTACTCTCACCAAAATAACTGCGAAAAAGCTGAACTTTTGAGCCGTATATGGACTGAACCAGGACTAAACAAGGTCTAAACCAGGACTAAACCAGAGCTGAACCAGGACTAAACCAGGACTATAACAGGACTAACCTCAGACTGATTCCAGGACTGAAGAGGAGGACTAAACCAGAACTGAACTAGGACTAAAACAGGACTCACTGTAGGGACGGGCTCGAAGGTGACCGCAGGAGAAAGGAGCAGCTTTGCTCCGCACCTCACGGAGGTAAGAGCGGCTGTCGCCCGATCGCTCTTTATGGACCCTGCTGCTCGGGCTCGCGGTCCTGATTTCAGCAACTATTTGCGGGTACAAGACCCGGTGCAAAACTCTGCTACAGCGCGTAACTTCTACCTTCCTTCAACGTGTCCAGAAGTCCAACTTTTTGTGCGATGGTTTGCATCGTCCTCTGTCTTTTGGGTGTGAGCGCAGGAGACTTTGTCGGTGCAGAACATTTCGTCGACGTTGTGGATTTTGTCGGAGAGAAAACTTGCAGACATACAGCACTTCAGAATCACACTGCTAGAGATTGAACATGTATTTAAATTTGGCATCTGATATTCTGTACTGTACTGTAGAGGAGACAGGAGTCCCTTAGCCGATCAGGACACAGCGGGAGGAACGCAATACGTGTTCATACACTAAAAACAAAAGGCATGCAAAATTGCACAAAAAAAAAAAATTCTAAAAATCAGCGAAACAGCGAGACCGCGAAAAGTGAATCGCGTTAGAGCGAGGGACGACTGTAAGCCAGGTCTAAACCAGAAGTGACCCAGGTCTAAACCAGGTCTAAACAGCGTAGAGTTCGGTCCTTTCACCCGCGGTTAACTGAAGGTCTATCCGGCCGCGTCTCCGGCGTTTCACCGCTGCTGATTTCACGGTGATTTTAGCGAATTTCTATGAAGAAAAACCCACCACTTCAATCCAGGTTAAAAAAGCATTGTAACGCGCGTTACTTACATTTGTACCGAGTAAAATATTACAATTTTTCCCCCTGTAATGCCTTACATTACTGCGTTACAGCAAAAATCAACGCATTACTGTAATACATTACTTTTATAATACATTACTCCCAACACTGATAGTCTGTATACAGAGCCACGCTGATGTTTTGTGCGCGCAAACAAGCAAAACCTAGGCCAATAAACGCCGTCTTTACTCATTAGAGTACGAAATTAACCAATCAGGAGCCGCGTTGTTCAAAGGCGGGTTCCTCTTCCTTATTCACTGTTCTACACGGAACGGTAGCAAGTCACGGGTATTGTTCAGGCTGATTGGGAGTTAGAACGATAACAAGTGATTATTAGGATCATGATACTCCTCAGTTTATGGGCTAAGATGACTACCGTGATATAACGTACGTTTTTTTTTTTTTCCATAATGCTTCAAATGCTTGTTGTCAGATCACTGTAGCTAATGCTGTTGCTTGCTAACGCCAAGGCTAATGTGGATCACTAAAATGCCTCGCTGAGGAACTGAGGTTTTGTTTTCGTCTGAATCTTTTCATTCTCATTAAGTGGTGAGTAAAATTCTTTCAGTGTAAAACTGCTTGATTTTCAAGTGATCAGTCATATTATGGCTAGTTTTTTCTGTTGCTGTTACTGTTTCTCTTTGACACTGAGCTTTTAGAGTCACTTTCATTATTATTATTATTAGACCGTAGACTGTTTTCTGAGCCCTGTCCTTATCTTTTCCCGCAGACGCACGGCAGAACGCGTGCAGTGAGCTAACTTTCTGATGGCAGTCGCTCCTGCCTCAATGGCAGATAAAATCATAGTCCTTGATGACGATGATGAAGAGGAGAGTCGTCAGTCTTCGACTTCAGCCTCCAGAGGATCTTCACGGAAAAATGCCAAGCAAGTCTCTCCGCTCAAAGCAGAGCAGCCCGCGCCTACCCACATCACACAGTCCCCCTTTGCCTCAGCCAAGAAAGAGGCGCATGTCCTTCAGGTGGAGAACGAGAAGCTGTTCAGTGAGGTGAGATTAGAATAAACGTAATAAACGTAACTCATTACACTCTATAACTAATCTCACATGGAGTAAACATATGTTATTTACTTCTTTTATACTTTTGAACAAGTTGTGTTGAATGTCCTTCATGTGTGTGTATTATCTTGCAATAACTACAAGACTTCTGTTTATTGTTGTTGTTTTTTTAAGTTTGTAGACCACTGTACAGCGCAGACCCAGGACTGCCCTGAAGTTATTACTTTTCTCAAAACAAAACACACCAAGGCCTCTCCCAGTTTCCTTTCATCAGTGGAATTCAGAAACTTTTTGGGAAGATGTTTAACTCGCGCTCAGGCCAACAGCTCCAAAACATTTGTCTATATCAATGAACTGTGCACATTGCTACGGCAGCATGGGGTCAAGAAGAGGCAAAGTCTCTCCAAACCAGAACTGTCAAAATCTACTTCAAATGCGCTCTTCTCTGGCTCAAAACCAGAGGATAAGGCTGAAGCTGCAGAGGAGGAGGAGCAGCCATCTACCTCAGGGGTGCACGAGGACAGTGAATCAGATCGAAAAACTGCTAGGAAATCAAGGAAGCAGGTCAGTGAATAAGCCTCAATACAATGAGAGGGGTAGGAGTTTATAAGTTTACAGTTCTTCCTGCTCCTTTTTGAGCATAATAGTAATGCAGCACAATATGCACAATAATATTTCATGGTGCTGAAATACATGAACTAAACTGAACAAGGCAATGATTAGGTTAAATGTCCAAATGTATAACTTTTCCAATAGAGGGTCAGATCATTGAATAAGTGGACTCAATCTCACTAAGAATGCATGCTTTTCAATACTTTCTCCAAGTATTAATAAACAAATGGATTATACATTTTCAGTCAATTTTATGGTGTTGTCCAGGGAGTTGATTATGGAATACTTTCCATTGTATAGTTTTATAGTTATTTTATCCATGTAACGCAACAGACCACGTACAATTCCCTAATAATCAGAAATGCCTAAGAATACTGTTTATTGTCTTACAGATTGCATACTTGGAAAATTTACTGAAAGTTTATAATGATGAGATTCGCCGCCTTCAAGAAGCTGATTTGAGTTTAGACGACCTTGGAGCAGAGGATTCCCTGTACATCCAGGAGCACAAGCTTAAACGCAAGGTTAGACAGATCGTGGTGGTGTTTTCACTTTTGATTATTTTGACAAGTTAACTTTGGTTTTGTTGTTTTTCAGATGATGAAGATTTACGAAAAGCTGTGTGAATTAAAGGGCTGCAGCACTTTGACTGGGAGAGTGATGGAACAGCGCATTTCTTACAGTGGCTCTCGATATCCTGAGATCAACAAGAGGGTGAGTTTTACACTTCCTGACAGAAGTGTCTTAATAAAAAACATCCTCAGAATACAATGTAAACCTGAATTTATGATGTAAGAAGGTGACGATCATGGTATATAAGTGATACTCAATTAAGTCATGTTTAGTGTGGTTTGGGGCTTCTGAGGAGATGATCGGCACTCTGTCTTTGTATACCCCCACATACCTGAAAGATGAAGAGAATGAGAAGTAGAAAAGAAGGCTGGCGGGGCAAGTAAACAACTAGATGGAGAGGGAGGAGGTTGGTGGTATAAATAGGGCAGGGACAGGAAAAGATATACCTGAGGGGTGGTTTTTCTCCTGAACTTAAAATAACTGCTCCCTCCCTTGTATGGACAGACTTGAAGAACATAAACACTCAAAATCCACTGACCGGTAATCAATTGAACACCCTCTTACCCATTTACATTCATGGTGTGAATTTTGTTAATATTTGATCTCCCAATAGGACTAGGGATCACATACGTACTAGGAATATTACGATTTTGAGATACATCCAATAGTTGACCGACATGCAAATTATTCTCTGTGTTACATCACTATTTTTTAAAAACCAAACACACATTTTAACAACAGTATTTCTTTGGTAAACCGATAACTGCAGTAAATATCAAATGTAATGCCTTTGATTTGATGTAGGACTTTTTTTCTCCATAACCACACACCTCTCTAATGTGGATTTATTCTGTATATATATTTTCCAGATTGAGAAGTTCATAAACAGCCCAGAAGCTCGGGAGACCCCCCCTGATTACCCAGACATCTATCAGCAGGTAGTTCGAGCCAATGAGCGCTACAACCTGTGTCTGTCGCGGAAGCAGCTCGTAGAAATCGCCAAAGAGGCCTTCAGGGACACGGCCAGTCGCATCCAGGACCGACGCCACTTGGACCTGGTCTATAACTTTGGTTCCCACCTCACGGACTCCTACAAACCTGGTGAGAGGCTGCAATTCTTGTACTACCCAGGATGGACCCAAGGACAATAGGCTACTTGTTTAAGCTTTTGTTCTTTTTTTTTTAATTGATCTGACCACAGCTTTATTTCTGTTTTATAGGGAGTTAATTTTAGGTTATAAGATGACCCTTGCATTCACATGATTTTGAAAAATCGCTAGCCAATGTTGTAGGCATTCAGGCATAAAGATTATTTTAGTTTTATTTATATTTTTTTTATATTTACCAGCCCTCATTGTTTTATTTTCTAAAGCTTGTGATCCAGCTCTTGAGGATCCAACACTTTCGCGAAAGCTACGATCAAACAGGGAACTCGCCCTAAACCGACTGGAAGAAGTCATCACCAAATACGCCACTAAGCAAGATGACACCGAGGAGCAGGAGAGGCTGAAACGCTCAGAAAAGGACAAATCAAATAAAGAGGTGCGTACTTGAAACTCTCACCTCACAGCATAGAGGATCCTGAGTCCTGGATCCATTTCTAAATATTAAATTTCACTATAGAGGTTGCATGTTCTACCTGTGACTGAAGTTATTTTTTTTAAATTCACATTAATTATTGATCTTAAACTACAACCTTACCCGGCAAATGCTCTGGTTAATTCAATTTTACTTTTAAGTTACAGCAGTCACAGGGCTCAACATAATGGTTGATTTTAATCAACAGAACGGTGAAACGGTCATTGGCCAATAAAAGACAAGCTGATTAATCTTCACAGGAAACAGGCAAACAGATAACTGTCCCAAAGCAAGAAAAAAAACACAATAAAAAAGAAAAAAAATTAATGAATATTGTTTTTTTTTTTTTACTATTTTAGGGAAATGTATCGAAAAATAGTAAAGCACCCGAGGCTAATGGAGTTCAGGACGATGAGGATGAAGAGGAGGAAGATGAGCCAGAGGAAGAAGAGGATGAAGATGATCTGTCGTCAGACCCAGACATCGAAGAGGAGATTCAGGCCAGCTCTCAGTTCAACGGAGCAGGTGACACACGAGTAGTGCTTAATGTATCTGGGGTTTAACGTGGCAAAGTCTCTGTGGAGTTTGCTTGTTTATCCTCGGGATCATATGCATTTCATTTCAACAATTAATCAGAATAATTGTGACTAATTGAATACTAAAATTATTATTGACCATTTTAATAGTATAACCACACTATAATAACATTTTAGAAGTTATTTTTTCTCATAAAGATGGCACCTTTTATAATTCAAAATGAGAAAAGAAGTTGGCAAAGTTTGGCTTCAATTGGTTACATTTAAAATATTGGTTTAGATTAGCCCAGTAAAACATACCTGATTAGTCGATAACTAAAACAATTGTTAGTTGCAGTTCCAATACGTTTCCTCCAGATTTTTGTAATAAACATAATTTTGATGTATGACTTGCTTGTCTACGTTTACATTACATTTTATTTCATTGTAATGTCCCTTCTAATATGTAGTTTCCATTTTTTATATTTAGAGGGCGCAAGTGAGGAAGAGGAGGAGACCAATGAGGCAGAGCAAGTTGTTGACGATGCGGACAAGGATCAGATGTCTCCCAGTGTTTCGGCGAGTGACAAAGGAGAGGAGGACGTCAGCGACCTCAGTCCAATATCCCAACAGAGCAAGTCCCTTCTCACACCGCTCTCCACCTCCCCCCAAGACAGCCCCAGCCAATCAGAAGAAGCCGCCAGCAACGAGCAGAAGCCCCTTAGCAATGGGACGGTCGAATCCACCAATCAGGAGGTGGTCGTGCTTGTTACGGACACAAACGCAAAAGACAATACGGCGGTCTCGGAAAACGGAGTGAAACAGTGCAGGACCTCCAGTACCACGCCTCCCCCGGATACGACCCGGGCAACCAGATCCCAGAAGAGGAAGAGAGAGGAAGTGACATCAGTGAAGTCCATCACATGTGACGGGTAAATATTGGCATTTCCTACAAGTTAATACTGAGATTATGGTTGCACGTGTGGTCCATATTTGAATCATTTTATTTGATACTATTTAAATTACTCTATTGATCAAAAAAGAACAGATTTCAGATAAAGTGTAGTTCATGACAATACTAAAAGCATAATGTATAATTTGTTTTACTTTTTTTCCCCAGCTTGTTTTTTGATTACGGGGGGCCACTTACTCGCTGTAAATTGTCAGTTTGGGTGGCCAGGCTACATCTTCACTTGGTGTTTTTTTTGTTTTGTTTGTTCCCATAGCGACGCCGATATTTCACTGGATATGGGCGTCTACAGTTCTCCGCAGCGACCTCGGGCTGAGACCCCTCCTTACGTCAGTAGTTCTCAGTCCACTCCGCCTCCAAAGAAGAACAAGGTGGGCAATAAGTATTTAAATACCCCTACTACCAAATCAGGGCTGAAACTAACCACCCACAACCCCCACGTTCACCTTGGCCCTAATCTTAAACATAACCCTACAACAAAGCTCTTAGTTCTACAACACAGCCATAAACTTAACCATTATTGTACTAAAAGGCCCTACTTTTGAAATTTTATGACAAAGCTCTGACCTTTACTTTTAAATAAATGTATGCACTTTATTGTAGAGTTAATATATTCCCAAATTTTAGAGACTCTTTTTTTTTTTTTTCAGGAAAGTTTCGAAAAAAATATGGAGCGGGCCCTCTTATGTTTACACAAAAACACCCTTTAATAATATTCTTATTTTTTTCTTGATATTCTTTTCTTTTATTTCCAGGTCAATGTAGCCACACAATGTGACCCTCAGGAAGTCATTGAGCTGTCGGACTCAGATTGATCCTTGTCTATGAACTGTTTTGAAAAGTATTCAAGATTTTCAATGGTCGTATTAGTTTTTTAGGGTTATCTCTGAATAAATTGCAGAAAAGTTTGTGGAAAAATCCTGTTTTTTTTAAGGACTAATGCAGGGACGTCAATAAACCAGTGCCTAATATCCATTATATTTTTTGATTGTCTGAATAGATTGCCTTTGTATGCTGTTTGTAAGGGGCTTATATTTTAAAATTGAGATGGAGGTCAGGGGCATATAGGGCAGAGTGATCCATGTAAGGTCATATTTTTTAAATTCTTTTCATCTGTTTAATGCAACTCTTAGAAAAACCCACCCACTCCTCCTTGTGCTCGGTCCATGCAAAGCTCTGATTGGTTATATCCACCTCAATCACAGTGAAATACCAACTTTTTGAAATGTAATATTTTTGTGACGCCTACTCCTAGGTGGAACTTATATGTTATAACTGCTGTTAATGATTAAAAACATTTTAGTCTGGTTCATAGTTGATATTTCATGCAATGGGTATTTAAACATAAAGCAACATTTTCAGTCTCCCCTTTTTTAATGTCAAACAGTGGGTTTATTAGAATCTTTTACAATCCCTTTTTTTAATATATATATAACTAACACCCTCCACCACAAAACTTTAAAAACTTGAAATTGCAGATAATAATGCATCATATTATACATTTGGCAATTTGATGTTTTTGACAATAATAAATGTTAAAATCACTTCTTTTTAAAATTTTTAAATATCATCAGCTTAGATCTCCATATTAAAACATCTTACTGGTTTGTTTACACCATACATTATATATTTCAATTTACAAATAAAAGGGGGTTGAACTTTTATGCTGCTGTTGACAGTAGTTGAATTGTCAAATGTTTTGTTTTTCTTTTAGTCTTAAAACTAGTCCTAGTAAATCCCTTAACTTTCATCCAAACTTATCTTTGTTTTGTAAAAATGTTTCAATTGTTATTGCATTTTACTTGCAATAAATCAAATCAAAAGGACAGAACAATATCTGATTTTAGGTTATCATTCATTAAACTCACACTTGTGTAAATAATGTAATAATTTGAACAATTCTGCAAAAATCCTGATGGGATATTTAGAAAGCCTTAATTTGATATATTGGAAGTTTAAACTCAGAAAGCTATAAAATATTCATAAAAGGCTCCTGAAATCTAAATTATACAGGATGAATGAGCACGTTTTAAATGTAGGTGCTGTATCATTCATAATGTTTATAGCATACTCAGTCTAGTCTTTTGGCCATGTTTTTTTTAATGTTCTATTCTCATGTTTTTGGGTATTGCTAAAACTCTTGGGTGCTACAGTACGGAGAAGCATTTACTGTGAATCTTTTTCAATTTTTATAACAAAATAAATGCTTTACTTTTGTATGTGTTGTCTGTTTTTTTTTTTATTGAGTTTCTTCACGATCTGTTATACATTGTTCCATACAGTGGTTCTGAAAGTCGTAGTCAGTATACAGGGAATCTTAATTTGTTTTGGTGTATATACCATTGTAATTGCATTATGTAGCCTTTCTCCCTGTTATTGCATTCCCTGGAATGTTCCACAGTATGACATTAAACGTATGTCTTGCATTTATTCAATTATAATTTCACACAAAAAAGCTTTCATTTGTAAGTGATAGGAGTCTACTCTCCACACATAACACCTGCTTGGTGGTGCTGGTGGTGTGATGAAGATCAATAAGTGTAATGCCATACTGTAGAACATACCAGAACGATGGTTGAAGCTGAAGAAAAGTTACGCAGGGCATCTGTAAATTAGGTATTTTCATAACGTAAAAGACCTGAAAGCAGACATGCATTTGTACCGTGAACGGGCTTGGCTTACCTCTCCACAGATCAGACCTATAATTTGGCCTGGTAGCCACATGCTTTTTTGATGGTGATGAACACGTGTAGTGCCATACTGTGGAACACTGTAGACAAAGGAATAACATCTGGCATTCAGTCCAACCAAAAAAGTTACATAGTGCACCTTTAATTTTCTTCAGCACAATCCACATTTAGGCAGCATGAACATCATCACTTACAAAATGTACTTTGAACTGAATGAAAATGTTAAAAAAAAAAAAAAAGAAAGAAAGAAAAAGAAAGGAAAAAAACGCTCAAAGAGGCTTTACATAGATCAAGACAGAACTTATTGGATGTAGTTTGACAAAATGGCATTTCACTATTTCTTTTTATTTTATAAAATAACCAGGAGATGGCGCCACAAACTAAAGATAATTCATACAGTCCATGGCAGCTCTGTGTTAAGTTGTTTGGATGGACTGAAGTTCCTTGTGTCCTTTATGCTCCCTGGTTCCTGATTGGTGGGTCACGTTAACACCTGGCCAATCCCACCTCACCTGCAGCTTCGTCGCCCTATTGAAGGAGATCAGCAGCAGCTGGATGAGGCTGCTGGTCTTTGTGGTGTCTTTTCTGTTGTACTTGTGTTATTTGTTAAGTTAAACACAGATGTAAAATTAACTTATTGCTTAGCTTTGTCTTAGTTATTTATTTATTAATGAATTAGTCTTATTGCATTTGTGATTATTTAGCCACAGTTATGGTGTACATAGTATGTAACATGTTTTATGCATTTAATTTGGTGTTTGCCATGGTTCACATCTGCCATCAACTTGTGGAGAAAATGTAACACATTTTCAGTTCAATTCAAAAAGTTTATTGTCAAATTTGCATGTTAACATGAAAAATTTAAATTATGTTCTCACTCTCAATCTTCTAAATTAAATAATAATAAAATAAAAGGAAAAGTCCAAAGTTACACACGTAGCTTTAAAAATAACCTAGTTTTTTGTGAATATGGAGCAACCAGGGTTTCTTATGGGGAATACAACATAACATTGTCGTTAACTCAAAATAACACTTACAAATACCTGGGGAAAAATATGGATGAGACCTTTAATGCAGAGAAAGTGGCACTAACACAGTCTGTCTATTCACATTGGTACACTGTTTAGACTATTGAAGATTAGAATAACATCTCCTACACCTAGGTATCTTTAGGCTATAAATCCATAAGACCCAGTTTACATTGAGGAGATTAACAGTGCACATGTGGGCAAAGCTCCTTAAACATTATAATTGAAGCACAGAGAAGCAGTGTGTGTTATCAGACACAGCCCTGAGGAGAGGAAGTCCACTCATGTTGTGTGTAGGATTTGATGGTCCAATGGGTTTTACATGTAATAATGCTCTTTATTTTCAAATGTAGAGGCTGCAGCTGTATTTAACTGTTCCTTTGTGAATCTATGGAGGAGTTTCCATTGGAGCTATACAATATAAAAAAGCAACATTATGAGAGGACAATGCTTCTAAACTATTTTATATTGTTTGTTCTTTACCTCTTAGAGTAGTTGTTTAAAAATACTTCAGTAAGTCACATCTAATGCAAAAGTTCAGAATTTTTTATGTAGCACTATGTAACTTTTTAGGCTGATATATTATAGACCACCACCTGCTCGTCTCCATGGAGATGTTAAGGCTTTGCCTGGCATGTTCCACAGTATGGCATTAAGCTGAACAAACATGTGGCACTAGTAGGCCAAGTTGGATCTGAGAAGCCACTTACACCAAAGCAGGACTAGCTTTGAAGCACAGCAGCACAGTTGACACGTAGTGATCGCTTTACTTTTTAATCTGTTGGAATCTACAACAGCATCTTTTATGAGCAATAACATCAGATGGGGCCTTATCAAGTCATGACTGAAAAATGCTTGATCTTCTCACGATCCAAATATGGACTTGTTTCCTGCAAGTGACTAAATATTGAATACATTATCTAAACATCCTAAGTTAGTCAGAAAGCCTAGTATTGAGTGTTATTATTGCTATGGCAACAGTTACCATTCAACTAACTTATTCTTTCCAAATAATATTCATATTTTTGCTTTATCTTTATGTGGTGATCACTTTATGCTTTTACCTGGGTCCCAATTCCCTCAAGTGGAAAATATGTTCAGATGTATAGGCTCTTTGACTGTCAAATTTATTACAGACATTGGACACACTCCATATGTAAACCTGCTGTACTTCAACTCAACCACATAGCTAACAAATGTATAATGCTTAAAAACATAGCTTAAGTAAAACAGTCTACTATTTTAAAAAGAATATTATAAGTTCATGTAAAGGCTTAAATGCTAAACTTTGGGAAATACACTTCTACAGTACTCATATGCAAGTGTCTATTCTAAGGACATACTGTAATAACAATATGAACTGGAAAGAGGGAGATTTGAACCATCAACCCTCCAATCATAAAATTTGACTAAATAAACACTAAAAATAAAATGTTGACCCTATATACAGTAACAAATAATATTTCACAATTTAAATGTATATCTTAATTGATTTTTTTTTCTCTCTCTCTCTCTCTCTTTTTTGTGATGAAACCTTTGTGCTGTTGCCATGACCATTAACTATTCAAAATATTCAACCTTTTCAAGTCCTCAAAATGGCACCTATGAGCAGGAAGCTGAAACCCATATTTAGGCTTACTTAGGCTGCTTTTTATATACAAAATAGAATCAGCTAAATCCAGACATTTCTAACACATCTCTCTACCCCAAATGATCCAATCATTTAGAGTTACCACTGACTGCAGGAATCCAATGTAACATCCTAAACTATTTAACATTATTTTTATAGTCTAGGGCGCCCTGCCATTACCCCATTATGAGATCTGGTTACAGTCTAAGCACTGGTTTTACCCATGCTCTTGGATTGGTTCTGTTCTTTGGAGATTCAACTGCAGCACTTTTGAATTAAGAACATTACGAAAACAAAAATAGCGTTGCAATAATCATTTTAAGATGGATACGTTTTTTTCCGTGCTCCTCAAGGCAAATGGGAATCCTCGGTTTAATTGATTAAATATGTGCAAAATGTAATATATACCAGTGTTAAGTGTGCTTGTTTTTTCTGCCATAAATTGTTCAGGATGCTGTAAAAACACTGTTATATGGAAAGCAGATATAAGTTACAGCCACTTATAGTCTTGAGTTACATTAACTAAATTGCCTTAGGTTTTGTCAATGTATCTATTTCTGTTTATCCAGATCATCTTTGTTATGACTGCTCACACCACAAACCGAAGTATAAAACACAGCATCATATCATCATCAAAATCAAAGGCAATGTTTCATACAAGTATTTTAAATTACATTTTAAAGCAGACCTATTATGCAAAATCAACTTTTAATCAGCTTTTAAAAATGGTATAAAATGTTTATGGTTGTTGTTTTTTTGTTTTTTTAATTTGTGTTTGAACAATTTTTAATCGCATATTTTCAAGACTCCATTTTGCCAATAAACCCCTGTTTTTACCACCACCAGTTCACGCCCACTCTTTTGTATACTTACTTCATTCTCCAATTCTATTTTATTAATCTGTCATACATGTAGGATTCAGCAGTGTCACATAGTCATTTTAGTACTAATTGGACACTGTAGTTTTCTATTGCAGAAGTCAGCAGACCTGTTTCTTTTTGTTGTTTTAGGACAGTACTGTGATTTTAAATGTGCAAATTACAACATAATGATCCATGGGTGTCACAGATTATAACTACATAGCAAGGATTTAAAGGTGCACTATGCAATTTTTTAGAGAGAGTCCACCGCCTGCTTGCCTGAATTGCGGCTTTTTTTTTTTTTTTTTTGCTTTTTTTTGAGCAATAACAACACATGTGCATGGTAAAATTCAACATAGATCTGTTTAATGTCACAGTGTAGAAGATTCTAGGTGCATTCACATCTCCATGGAGACAAGCAGGAGACATCTTACATGGTGCACTTTTAAAGGGACAATTCGGAATTTTGAACATAGGACCTAATTTCCTAGTGAGCCCGAGTGTTGGAGACGTGTGCAGACACTTTTTAAAATATTCCATCCAGTCCTTGTATTTACAGAGGTCACTGGTACTAGGCTAGCACATCAATGGCTATAGTTAGCCTGCAACTAAAAACAGTCTTACCCACTCCACAAAACACCTGAAGAAAATCTATTATTACACCAGACTGTCAATGTAAATGTCTGTGTTGATAGAACAATGTTTGAAATAAAAGTAACCTTGCATCTCATGAAACGTCACATGCTGAGGGACTAATTTCTCATATATCAGTCCGCCGCTGCCAAACTTTCTATCAGGAAGTACAACTTGCTGCTGCTGCTCAGACATAAATCCTTTGAATGCAAGGTTGGTTTTACTTTGAAAGTTATTCTATCGACACAGACATTCATGTCAACAGGTGTTTTGTGGAGTGGATAAGACTGTTTTTAGTGGCAGGCTAACTATGGCCATTGACATGCACTAGCCTAGCACCAGCAACCTCTACAAATACAAGGATTGGATGGAATATTT